GGCTCCTTGGCCCACAGCGGTGATGCTGGAAGGAAAAAGCTCCCCATCATCTTTGGCCTCGTGTGTCCTGTGACTGAGGGGCCACTCCTGTGGCTCAGTGGTTAGAGCCTCTGCCTCCGGGGCCCGTGGCCGCTCCTGAATCCCCAGCAGCACCCCGCACTGCCAAGTGCCCCCACCCCCCAGCCCCCCACGATTCTGCACCACACGCGTGTGGAACCCCTGATGCTGCAGCAGCGACATCACGGGAGATGGCAGGACTTTCAGGACTTCTGAGTGAAAATAAGTTTAAAAGTGTAAATTTTTGAAAGGAAGCTGGCTGACCGGAGTGACGGTACAGCAGGGAGCGTGTGGCCTTGCACCCAGCCGACCCGGGGTTTGGTCCCCGAGCCCCGCCAGGAGTGACCCCTGAGTGCCGAGCCAGGAGGAAGCTCTGAGCACTTGGGGTATGACCCCGAAACGGATGAGAAAAGGAAGCTGGTGAATTTTGGATCCCAGCCGTGCCGTTCTCCTTTAAACGCATTTATTGGGGCTTCTTTTATTGGCCTTGGAGCAGCGATGGCGAATGGCTGTTGCCCCTTGCCAGTTTTAACTCTGGCCAGCTATTGTGAAAGAAAATAGACGCGACGTTAATCACCAGAATCAAGGCTCGGGCCTGAGAGCAGGCCAGGGTAAATATTTGAAAACGTTTTTCTTCTCGTTGAATTTATTTATTCATTTATATATTTTGGGGTAGGAAAGTAGGATGCTCCGATGGCGTGAACTCGTAACTGAATTCGAAACAATGCCTTGTGGATTTATTTCTCTCCACCAGCTGCTAAAAATAAACCAGCTTGGCCCGTCCCCTGCCGGCCCCCGCCTGTGGCCCAGCGCGGCCCTTTCTCTTTGGAACAGAAGCTGTTTTGAATCTATTTTAGTTCCCCAGAAACGTGAGGGTAGGAAGTGTTATATCGGGAAAGAACAATTTGGGGGAAAACCCAGTTTTCGTGTCAGTTGTGAAGTAACCAAAACAGTCAGATGAGACACTCTAGGAATATGGCCATAGTCAGCGTGTTTGCAGTTGAATTGTGGTTTAAAACAGAAATTGATAATGTTGATTTTTTTTTTTAAGAAGCCAATTTATTTTATTTTATTTACTTCTTTTCTTTTTTGGGTCACACCCAGCAATGCTCAGGGGTTACTCCTGGCTTTGCACTCCGGAATTACTCCTGGCGGTGCTTGGGGGACCATATGGGGTGCCGGGGATCGAACCCGGGTCGGCCGCATGCAAGGCAAACATCCTACCCGCTGTGCTATCGCTCTGGCCCCGATTTTTTTTTTAATTTTAATTTTTAGGACAGAAATCGATAAACTGATTTTTAAAATACCCCTTTAATCTGTTGGATGCTTTCTCTTGGGCATCTGAGAAAATTCATTTTAAAAGGATTTGAAAAGGGGCTGGAGAGATAGTAGGGCAGGGAGGATGCTTGCTTTTCACGCAGCTGGATCCGGGTTCGATCCCCAGCACCCCCATATGATTCTCCAAGCCCCTCCCCAAGTGATCCCTGAGTGCAGAGCCAGGAGTAACCCCTGAGCACAGTTGGGTGTGGCTGAGAAACAAAAGTCAAATAAAAGAACTTGAAAAAAAAAAAGATTCTGTGCTTCCAGTGAAGAAATGGAGGAAGCCAAGAAGGAAAACGTGAATCGTATTTTGGTGTGTTGGGGCTATTTCTCGTTTTTTGTCTCGGGTTGTGTTTGTGATCAAAGGGAGGAGACTTCCTGGGGGGACGTCCTGTCCGGCCATCATCTTGGGGCTGTCAGGACAGCGCCCTCTGCTGAGGGTCACAGTGCCGTGGCTTGCTCTTCCTGGTCAGGCCTGGTCTCCCTGTTAGCTCTGCCTCTCTTCGTTCCTCAGGAAGGGCGGGGGGTGGGGGGTTGTTTCGGCTGGTGATGCTCCGGGTTTGCTCTTGGCATCGCGGGGTCCCTCTGGGGTGCTGGGGTTTGAACTTCGGGCAAGGCAACCGCTTACCCACAGCCCGGGGCCAAGGTTCCGGCGGATTCGGGCCAACCCGGTGCCAGGCAGGCCAGCTTTGGCCCCCACACGTCTCTCTCGCTCTCATGTCCAGTCTCAGTTCTTCAGTCCGTTTGGTTTGGAGTGGTTGCTTTTTTTTTTCTTTTCATTTTTGGCCCATGGCCTGCCGTGCTTCCTCCTGGGTGCTCGGGGGTGACTCCCACAGTGCTCACTGTGAGTGGGGAACTGACAGAAACCGTTCTTCTCGGGCCTGAGGCCTGGGTGTGTCCAACAGAGTCTGGGGGTCGTGGCCCGGGAGAGCGGGGAGCCTTTCCGGAGTGAACGATGCTGCCCGTGTGCCCACAGTGAAGTTTTGGCTTCGAGCATTTTCTGGTCTTTTGGGCTGGGGGTCAGGCCACCTCCTGCAGAGTTCAAAGGTCTCTCTGGGCAGGGCTGGGGGGACTGTGTGTTGTGCCAGGGTTGGCCGCATGCACGGTCAGTCCCTTATGCCCCGGTACTGCCCCTCTGAACCTTCTGGTAGTTTCACTGGCCCTTTACTATCAAGCAGCAGCAGAGTTGACATTGCTGAGGTGTGGGTAATCAGTGGGGAAAGTTGTTGTCATAAGAAGCTCGGGGGGGGGGGGGTGGGGGGGAGAGTGTGGTGGTGAGAGTGATATCATGGTGGGGAGGGCGTTTGCCTTGCACACACAGCTGACCTGGGTTCAATCTTCGGCACTCCATAGCATCCCTCGAGCACTGCCAGGAGTAACCTCTGAGCATCAGCGGGTGTGGCCTAAAAAGCAAAAAAAAAAAAAGAAAAGCTGAGGGTTGGGTGGGGGAGGGTGGGGACCACATGCAGTTTGAGGACGAGTTCTGACAGATGCTTTGACACCCCCAGAAGGCGCTTTGGGGGAGGTGGAGGGGCACCCACGCAGTGACCTGGAGCTGGCGGCAGTGCTTGGCCGTCTAAGGCTGGAGCCCAGCGGTGCTGCAGGTGGCCCGGAAGCCCTCGGGGTGCGTGTGCCCCGGGATGAAACGTCTGTAGGCAGCCGGTCCTGGTTCGGTCTGTGGCGCCACATTCGGTCCCCGAGCACTGCCAGGCGTGATCCCAGAGCACTGTGGCCCCCAATTCGGGGGAACAACCCACAAAGGAAAACTTGTCTGTGCAGACATGAGCTGTCTCCCTGGCCTGGGAAGGTGCTCATGCCAGCGTCTCGATGTGGAAACTGAGGCGCAAGGTGTGAAGAGGCCCGGGGAGCAGAAAGCCCCCGCATAGGGAGCTCCCCGCACATGAAGGGTTCATGTTATCAGAAGGCCCCGGCAGCGTCTGCGGCATCTGTGTCCCGTCTGGTCCCTCTGTCCATCTGCCTGTCCCGGACACCAGGGCGCCTCCCCCCCCCTTCACTTCCGCTTCAGTGCCCTGGGCCCTGCAGCAGCACGTGGAGGAGCAGGGTCCAAGGTCAGGCTGACGGTCATTTTCTGTGCCCCTGCCGTCCTGTGCCCAGAGTGGCCAGCCACAGCCCTCTGCCCGTCCCCGCTCTCGACCCAGCGCGTGCCCGCCCTCATCTTTCCCGGGGGGAGGGGGAGAGCTGGGGGTTCTGTGTCCTTGCGGCTTTGATCTGCTGCCTGAAATGGAAACTGTGTGATGAAAGGAATCGGATCTTGCTGCCTCTACCGGGCCTATAGAGGGTCCAGGAAGACAGACACCCTCCTGCCCCGGGATCTCCAGAAGGGCCCTGGGGAGCTAGGGAGGTGGCGGGGGCGGGGGGCAGGAAGGGTCTCTGGGCGGCCTTCACCCGCACTGCACCCCCTTCAGTAGTTAGACTCACCCCGCCCCATGCGGTTCCCAGGGTAGGGGCCCTCTCTCTCCTCTCTCTCCAGTTTCTGGTCAGGCCAGGGGTGCTGCTGGTCTTTGGGGGGGCACGGGCGGAGTCAGGGGGGCTGCCTCCTGCTGTGAGCTTCCATTGTCCTGGTGGCATCTGCTGGGGAGAGCAGGGCGACGGGAGTGCCTGGACTGCCCGGACACTGTAGTAGCCAGGGGGCAGTGCTGACCTCAGTGATGCTCTGGAGGGGCTGGCAGGACTCCTTCGGGCTCCAGGTGCTGACTCGCTGGGAAACAGATTCTGGAGGAGGTTGTGGGGGTTTCCCCCGCGCTGCCCCATAGCTGGGCAGATGGTCCACGGCTGCCTCAGTTTGCTCCGCCCGAAATGGGAGTGACTTGATACCCCCGTGGCCAGGGCGAGGCAGGAGCAAGCGCTGACTCATGGCGTTCCCGGGAGAGCGCCCCGGCTCCCCCACCCCCAAGTCCTCTAATCAGGGGCCTGAGAGATGCGCCACAGGCTGGGTGTGTGGGCCTGGCCTGCGGGGATGCCCGGATTCCCTTCCTGCCACTTCATGGCCCCCCAGCACCGTGTGGGGAGCAGCCCTCAGCAGTGCTGGGTGTTTCTCTCTGTCTCGTGAGTTAAAATGGATCGTGAGGGGCTTGGAGTGACAGTAGAGAGGCCAGGGCCTGGCATGTTCCTGTCCCCAGCATCTTGTATGTCCCCCTGAGCATCGCTGGCGGTGGCCCCCAAACAAACAAAAACATTTGGGTCTGGAGCCATAGTCCAGCGGGGAGGGCGCTTGCCTTGCCTGCAGCCAGCCTGGGTTTAATCCCCAGCACCCACCCCCGAGCGATCCCTGAGTGCAGAGCCAGGACTAAGCCCTGAGCACTGCTGGGTGTGACCCAAAAAGGTGGTAGGGGGGATTATGAAATCGTGCTTGGTCCCAAATGATGACATGTAGAAACAAGTTTTAGTGTCTGATGACAGGAAGGTGTTGGGGAAGTGAGAGGCCTCGCACATGGCACCTTCTGCAGCGTCTGCGGCAGTGCCTCAACCTCCCAGTCCACGTTGGCCTCGGGGGTGGGGGGGTCCTCTCTGCTGCGGCCCACCTGGCCGGGCCGTGAGAACCGTGTTTGTCCAGCGGCGCGGCGAGCAGATGCCCTGATGCCCTCTTCCCCTTCCTGCCCTAGATCCGACGGAGGCGCCTGGCACGACTTGCCGGGGGACAGACGTCCCAGCCGACCACCCCGCTCACGTCTCCCCAGCGGGAGAACCCCCCGGGCCCGCCGCTGGCCGCGTCCGCCGCGGGGCCCTCGCAGAGCCTCGGGCTCAACGTGCAGAACATGACCCCAGCTACCTCCCCCATCGGCGCTGCAGGTAAGCGGCTTCCGGGGGGGCTTTCTGCAGGGGGCGGGGGCGGGGATGGCGCCGGGCGTGGGAGACCAAATCAGTACCCGGGGCTTGGTGAGTCTTGGCCCGGATCGCTTGGGTGTGGGAATGTTTCCTCCCTGGCGCTTTTATCTCACTGGCCAGGTGGTGAATTCAGAGGAAACTTGGTTCTGCTGATCTTATCGGGCGGGTGATACTTTGAGGGTGAAACAGAGCCGGCCTCTAATTACAGGCTTCCTGGCCTCATGCTCCCCGGCGCGAAGGGCGGTTCTGTAACTTGGGGTGTAAGAGCTACCCCGTGCGTGCGGTGCTCGGCTCTCGCGGTGGTGTCCGGCCGGCACCGCTCTCAGGGCTGGGGGACGGTGACTCCTTACAGCCGACAAGAACACAGGCCATGGTGACAGTCATTCACGCCGTTAGCAAATCCGTCCTGGAGGTCAGTTTTCCTGTCGGCGGCTTAAGGCAGGGCCTTGACTTTGCCCAGTTCTCCTAGACAGATGCGAGGGGCAGCGTTTGCATTTTCTGCCCCGACACGGGGTCGCTCCCGCTCGTCACCCCCTGTGGGAACCCCAGAGCCCATGCCCTGTCCTGCCTCAGGTTCCACCCAGACCTCCGTGAGCCGTTTCCAGACCCCTCCTCCCCGCCCCCACCCTGCCCCTGCAGACAGTCCACCTTGCACCGCGCCTCCTCCAAGAACCTCCTAGTTCCGGAGGAGCAGACACGGGCCCAGGCCCCTCTGGAAGCGCCAGGCACGGTGCCCCCTGCGGTTTGGTGCTGCCCCAGAGGCTCAGCCCTCCTCCCGGCCACCTGGAGCCTTGCTTCCAGCCCTTCCGGTTCCTCTGTGGCGTCCAGAGCGGGGATTCCGCCAGGGAGCCCGGCCTCCCCGCCGTGGCTGCGCCCTGCACAGGGGAGCCTCTGGGAGGAGCCCCGTGCCAGCTCTCCTGCGCCCACTGCAGGGACCCCTGGTCTCTGGGCAGCCTCCTTGGCATGGCTTCACCCTCTTTCTCCCTCCCGAGTTTTCGAAGCTCAGTTTTTAGCTCGTCGCTCTCGCCTCCCCTCTGCTTGGTGGGGGGCCCTCTCCCCTTCCCCTGACGCCCGTCTGCCAGCGGGGCCCGACGTCCGGCCGCCTGCCCTCTCCGTCCGAGCTCCAGCACTTCCCCCCTGACCAGAGCAGCTCACTGGCTTTATGGACTCCTGGATCTGCCAACTCCCAACTGCAGCTCGTGCTCCTGTTCCTAGCCTGGTCCCGTGGCTCATCTCCTAGGGCCCCATCACAAACGGGAGCGGGGAGTGCGCTCTCTCTCTCTCTCTCTCTCTCTCTCTCTCCACCCCTCTCCCTCTCCCTCTCTGTCCCCCCATCTCTCTCCCCCTCGTTCCCTTTCTCCCTTCTCTCTCCCTCTCCCTCTCCTCCCCTCCCTCTCTCCTTCTTTCTCTCCCGTCCCCTCCCCCTCTTCCCTCTCCTTTTCTTCCCCTCCTCCCTCTCCTGCCTTTTCCTTTCTCTCCCTCTCTTTCCCCCTCTCTCCCTCTCTTTTTTCTCTTTCTGTCTTTCCTTCCTTCTTTTCTTTCTTTCTTTCTTTCTTTCTTTCTTTCTTTCTTTCTTTCTTTCTTTCTTTTTCTCAGGGGGAGACCACACCTGGTGATAGTCAGGGGTTACTCCTGGCTCTTCACTCAGAAATGAGCCCCGGCAGGGCTTGGGGGACCGTATGGGGTGTCGGGGATCGAACCTGGGGGATTGAACCTGGGTCACATGCAAGGAAAGTGCCCCCCAGCCCTGGGCTCTTTGTTCTAGCCGCTTTGGCTCGCACATCTTCCAGTTGCTTCCCGGCTGGGACCGGGTCCCACATGGTGCTCTCTGAGAGGGGCGCAGGAGGCGCTTGGCCTGGCCACTTTTGTCACTTGCCCAGTTGCTCAGACGCATTTGAGACGCCGAGTCAGTGAATCGGGGGGGGGGGGGGGGTGTTCCCGGCATTCCCAGGGTGCCCCAGTGCCCACCTGGGTTCTGTTTGTGGTTGGAGCCACACCTGGTGGTGCTCAGGGCCTACTCCTGACTCACTGTGGAGGTGCTTGGGGTACCGTATGGGGGTCAGCTGTGCTGTCCTACCTGCTGTCCTGTCTCTTTGGCCCCCAGACCTGGAGTTCTTAATTTGTTTTTCCATGCGTCCCTCTGGTCACTTCAAGCCTTTGATCAGCTTCCTTGAAGAAACTTTATTTTTGGGGGCACACTCATTTGTGCTCAGTGCTTAGAGCACTTGTCTTGCGTGTGGGAGGCACTGGGGTCAGTGCCCTATACCATATGCTCCCCCAGAGCACTGAGCTAGGAGTAGCTCTTGAGCACCAGTGGCTGTAGCCTCAAAACCAAAAAATTCGCGTGAATAGGAATTTGGTCCCTTTTCTCTCTAAAAGGAATTATCACTCAGCTTTCCAGTGCTCGGGGGATATTCTTATACAAATAAACCCATAATGCAGCTCTAATACCCTCTCGCCCGTCCCCAGAGTGTGGCGAGCGTTCTCGTTCTTCGCAAACGGCTTCTATTAAGCGGACGTGGAAGGTCTGTGCGCCCTCACTTCTGCAGATTGGTTTTGGGATTTTTTTCTGTCTTTCAAAGAGTGGGAGACGGTGACGTCTGTGTTTTAATTCTTTATTGTTTTTGGCTTACAGAGGAAAGGGGAGGGATAGTATGTAATTTGTGTGTGTGTGTGTGTGTGTGTGTGTGTGTGTAGGGGGTTGGTGTTAGGTGTTTTTTTTTTTAAATTGAATCACTGTGAATTATAGAATTACAGTTATTTGTGATTGAGTTTCAGGTACACAAATGTTCCAACATCAGTCCCTTTCCCAGTGTCCACTTCTCTCCAGCAATGTCCCCTGTTTCCCTCCTGTCCCCCATTGTCGCTGTGATCCCTTCCCCGGCCTCTGCCCCAGCCCCTCTCCCGCGCTTCTGCTCTTGGTCTCTGTCCCGCTTCTTGTCCGAGTTCGGGTGGGTGAGGGTTGAGACGGTGCGGGTGGGTGGATGGTTGGGGACACAGTGATGTTTTCAAACCGTAACTGCTGGCCTTGCTTTGTCTTCAAGTCACAATATTCAGTTTATTTGGACTCAAAGTCAACGCAGCTGTCTCTTCTTCGGTTTAAGAATCAGTCCTGACAGGGGAGGGTGTAGAACAATGAGGAAACGCACCAGACCCGGTGACTTGGCGGATCCGGCCATCCCATGGAACCTTCTGGACTAAAAGGAGCTCAGATGAGATCCTTGATGTCTTGTAAAAATCCCGCCAAGCCAGCACGTTACTGCAGGCTGGCCTGGCTTGTTGCTTAAGCACATTCGTAGTGCCTGACACGTCCTATAACCTAGAACAGCTGTGTTGCAGGCAGGCTTTTTAAGCAACTCTTATAATTATCAGTGTGATATTAGAGCTGGCTTTATAAGTCATACTTTTTTAAAAAAAATGTGTATATATCCTTTTCTAAAAAATTGCAAATCATGTATTTGTGAAGGATTATGTGCCGAGAATTCTTCCAACTCAGTAGTTCAAAGGGAGAAGATGAGAAGGATTTGAACAGATATTTTAACAAAGAAAACATTCAGAGAGCCGTGAAGTATTGACGATGAGCTCATGAGAAGCTGCTCACTGTCAGTGGGAGATGCAAGTGGAAGTCACGCGGCTCCCACTCCACTGCGGGGAACGCTTGTCTCCCCGCCACTGCTGAATGATCACCTGCTCTCCTGCTGGGGTCGCAGCTAAGGTGGCATCAGATAAGACTTTGCCAGTTCCTTGCACGTCAAAGCGCTTGCCCGGGCGCGGGGCCCTTCTCCTGGGTCCTTGTAGGGTACTGACAGCTCTCAGAGGCGGCCGTGACTCCGCCTCCCTGCCCGGGAACAGCCCTTCACTGAGAACAGTTCAAATGCTCATCATCTGGTGAATGGGTAAACAAAATGTGACCTGTCCAAACAGAGGGCTACAGTTCAGCAGTAGGAAATGAATACACAGAACATAGCCCCGATTTAAATAAGCCACGAAACCAGTCTCTGATGGAAAGAAGTCACACAGAAGGTGGTGTGTGTGTGTGTGTGTGTGTGTGTGTGTGTGTGTGTGTGTGTGTGTGAGAGACACATCACGATTCCTTTTATATGAGTTAGCTTTCTCTTTCTTTTTTTTAAATTTTTAAATTTTTTTTGCTTTTTGGGTCACACCCGGCAATGCACAGGGGTTCCTCCTGGCTCTGTGCTCAGGAATTACCCCTGGCGGTGCTCAGGGGACCCTATGGGATGCTGGGAATCGAACCCGGGTTGGCCGCGTTCAAGGCCAAACGCCCTACTCGCTGTGCTATTACTCCAGCCCGCCTTCCTTCCTTCCTTTCTTTCTTTCTTTCTTTCTTTCTTTCTTTCTTTCTTTCTTTCATCAGCGTACATACAAAGTTACAAAACTGTTCAGTCAGGTTGCGGACATGCAGTGCTCCAACACCATCCCTCCACCAGTGTATGTTTCCCACCACTCATGTACCAATGTCCCCACTTCCCTCCTGGCCCCTCCCTGGGTGTCTGGGAGGCACTCCCCCGCCTCAGTCTCTCAACCAACCTTCCTTCCTTCCTTCCTTCCTTCCTTCCTTCCTTTTTCATCCTTCCTTTCTTTCTTCTTTCCTTTCTTTCTTCCTTCTTCCCTCCTTCCTTCCCTTCTCTCTCCCCCTTCATTTCATTTCCTTCCTTCCTTCCTTCCTTCCTTCCTTCCTTCCTTCCTTCCTTCTTTCCTTCCCTCTCTCCCTCTCTCCCTCCCTCCTTCCCTCCCTCCCTGCGTTTCTATTTCTTTTTTTGTTTTTTGGCATGCTGGCGGTGCTCAGGGCTTCCTCCTGGCTCTTCCCTCAGCAGTCCCTCCTGGAAGGGCTCAGGGGACCACATGAGATGCCAGGGATTAAGCCTGAGGTGTCCGTGTCCACGGCAAGTGCCCTACCCCCTGTACTATTGCTCTGGCCTGTGAGGGTTTTTTTTTTTTTTTTTAATGTTTCAGTAGCAGAAAAACACCACAGAAATGTTAAACAGTATGCCTCTGTGTGCAGAAACAACAAAACATTTCCAAGAGGAATCAGAAAATATTTTGAAAGAATATAATTTGAATGAGTTTTTGCAGAAAAATTTTTATAATTAAAATCCCTTTTTGGGGGCGGGGGATTGGGTCACACCTGGGAATCCTCGGGGCTGACTCCTGGCCCTGTGCTCAGGGACTGTTTGGGTTGCCAGGGATGGAACCCAGGCTGGCCGTGTGCTGCCAGGTACCTTAATGCCTGCGCTCTGTCTCCGGCCTCAATACCTATTTTTTTTTAAAAGGGAACAGTCTAGAATCTTGAGTTTCCACGTCAGGAGTCTAGAAAAGGACGAGCACAGCAGGACCATTGGAACAGAAAAGTGGAACAGGAAATGAAGAGCAGAAATGACCAAAATGACATCTACCGGGTGTGACTGGTGCTCCTGGCAGGGTGGGGCCCCAGCGGTGCCCGCACAGCTGCCAGCCTGCTGGCTGAGAATCTCTGTCCAGAAGGGGCTCCCTGGCTCCCTGAACCTGTCTGCTACCCACCCCCCCCACCTCATTACACACAAAGAAATCCACATACCCACGAAACATACACAAAGAAAGTCCAGAGGCACAAAGAAATCAACAAAATTGAAGGCAGAAAAACAACAGAAAAATCAATGACACCAGAAGATTCTTTTAAAAGGTCAGTAAACCCGGGGCTGGAGCAATAGCACAGCGGGTAGGGCGTTTGCCTTGCACGCGACCAACCCGGGTTCGATTCCCAGCATCCCATATGGTCCCAACCCGGGTTCGATTCCCAGCATCCCTGAGCACCGCCAGGAGTAGTTCCTGAATGCAAAGCCAGGAGTAACCCCTGAGCGTCGCCGGGTGTGACCCAAAAAGCAATAAATAAATAAATAAATAAATAAAAGGTTAGTAAGCCCGATATAAACCGCTCACAAGATGGAAAACACTGAGAGAAGTTTTCAGTGTCAGGAATGAGATTGAGCAGCTCGCTGTGATCCCCTCCTTCTCCTGGGTCATGGGTTGATGCGGCAGCTTGCGGGAAGCGAGCCTGTTCTCTGAACAGTGCCATGATTACCCAAAATCAAGCAAACAGCGTTCCATGCCCTCAGTTTTCAAAGAAACGGAAGAGATGCGAAATATAATAGTTGAGAACTGGCAGCCAGGGAGAGGAGAACCAGGCGCCACCAGGCCCGTCCCGTTTCCCCTCCCAAGTGGTGCTCTCTTGTACAGAAGCCCCCCAGGTCAGTTTGGGAGGGCTGCTCCAGTGGCAGGAATTCCTTTAACCCTTTCACGAAAGGCCACCACATCCGAGAGGCCCCGCTAACGGGCCGTTCTGGAGGGGACACGTCCGGTTAGTACTTCGCGTGCAGCGGGCTCTCCCCTTCCGACTACTGTCTGGGGGGCCGGGGGGGGGGCGGAATCTGGGAGAGCTTCTGTGCATGTGTGTGGAGGGAGGTGGTTCTTCTGCACGCTCCCCTCCCCCGCCCTGTGTTGGATCTGTGCCCTGTCCAGCGCGAACCCCCATGCTGTTGTTTCCGTTCTGTGCACACGACTCTTCCACTTCCTGGGGCTGGGCAGCCGACTCCCTCCTTTGCTTGGGGAAGGTCTCTGCTGTGATTCAGCTTTGTTTTTCTATCTGGCCATGGGCGTTGTTGAAAGTGTTCACCAGCCCCGGGTGAAGTGTGTACGCGCACGTGTTTCTCCCGGGTGCCCGGCGTGAGCTCCCTCCCTCTGAGAAGGATATTTCCAGAGTGAATTCAGTTTCTCATTCTGCACAAAGCAGAGGAACAGAGGCATGTGGGTCCCGAGGCTGAGATCTCCAAGCCTGCTCGGATCGGGGCTGAGCATCCTCTATCCAGATCCTCCAAATTCCAGTAGGAGAGGGTCACACCCACCAACTGGCCCCCTGGCGCCGTGTAATCCCATCCATGGCCAAGACTCAGAGACTATAAAACTCAGCTCTCGGAAGCGCGCGACATCTTATTATCTCATTCCTACTTTGGACAAACTGGCAGGCTACCGAATGTAACCTGCCCACACGGCAGAGTCTGGCAAACTCCCCGTGGCGTACCCAATATGCCAAATACCAGTAACAATGAAGGGTCTCATTCTCCTAACTCTGAAAGAGCCTTGAATATGGCACTTTTTAAAAAAATCTCAGGGCTAGGACGAAGGAGACGTTACTGGGGCCTGCTCGAGGCAATCGACGAACAACAGGATGGTCGTGGTCGTGATCGTGATCGTGAATTCAGTTTCTCATTCTGCACAAAGCGTTATCCTAAAAATTTGCATGAGCAGCTGCTCAGAGAAGGAGCCTGTCCTGTTCCTGCTTCCAGATACTCTTCAAAGGCAGGGATGGCTCTGTGACTCAGTTTCCCCAAAGCATCACAGAGAAGATATGTAACTCAGTAGTGGACTTCCTAGGGGACTCCGGTTCCCCGTCACCACCAAAAGCGACCACCTGGTGTGACCTCAGAAGAGACCCAGGAGTGTCTGACCCACACGTAGACGACCCTTATCCGAGGCCCGACTTGGTGGGTCTGTCGCACGGGGAAGTATTGGCGAACACTCCCGTGCCTGTCCTCGTGTGTGGTTCCCGCTTTCCTGTCCCCGGCCCTGTGCGTCTCTGCCTCGGGTGCTCCCAGGAAGCTTCTAGGCAACTGGGGGCTGGAACAGGCGAGGAGGTGCTGGGAGGTCTGCAGACTCCCTGGCTGCGGTGAGGGGTGTTGGGGGTGGTTCATGGCCGTCCAGGGGTGGCCAGACCCGGCCTGCGTGCAGTGCTGGTTTCTTTCCAAGCCCTTGCTCCTCCCGTGCCACCCACCATGCCCGGCGACGGTGAGCGGCCACGTGCATGCGCCGTGCCCGCGGCTGCTCACGCCGTGCTCGTCTCTGCCGGCAGGTGTGGCCCACCGGAGCCAGAGCAGCGAAGGCGTCAGCTCGCTCAGCAGCTCGCCGTCCAACAGCCTCGAAACCCAGTCTCAGTCGCTGTCACGCTCCCAGAGCATGGACATCGACGGCGTCTCCTGCGAAAAGAGGTAAGCGCAGCCGTGCCCGGGCACTGGGAAGGCTGTTGGCCCCTCCAGACTCTGCCGGCCCCTCGCAAGTCAGAGCCCCAGTTCCTCGAGGTGGGAGCCATCGGGCTCCCTTTGCAGGGACACGTGCAGATGCCACGCTGGCGGGCACCTTCGGTCCCTGCACGTGTCTGCTGGGGAAATGGCTCGGGTTGGCAGGGCTCAGAGGGTGAGCTTCTAGCAGGGTGGCCGGGACTCCCGAGCACAGTCTTCCGCCCAAGCACGACCTTCCTCCCGTCTGAGTTGGGGCTGGGACCCGTCTTTGGCCTCCGGCCACTTCTGTTGCCCGCACAGTTTCCTCGACACGCCAGGATGTGGCAGGGCTGAGGCGCTGGCCGAGCGTCACTGCTGTCTGGAGCTGGGTTGGCGTCCGGATCCCCGACCCCCCTGCCCGAGGCCAGGCTGAGGGATGAGGATGCATTCTGGCGAGAGCGCAGGTCCCCGGGGGTGGGAATCAACTTAGAGCCATGTGAACTGCTCCTGTTACCTGTGTTCATCTTAGCAGAAACGTCTTAGCAGCCATCAGACCAGCATGGGTTTCATGGCCTGGAGGTGGCTTCGGGAGGGGTCAGCATTCGATTTACACCATTGCTGCCATCTGCAAACCCTCAGGCCCAGCCAGGCCCCGAGCCCCCACGTGGGTGCAGCAGAGTCAAGACTCACACGTCAGCCACGTTTCCAGATAATTGCCGTAGGAAGATGGCGCAGGCAGGAATCAGGAAACCCACTTAGAGACAGCCTGCGAGGGAATTAGCTCTACCCTTGTAAGGAGCTCGCTGGAGCTGAGGTGCAGCAGCAGGACACTTGTCTGCATGTGGCGGCTGACCCAGGTTCATTTGCCGACATCCCACATGGTCCCCTGAGCACCACCAGGAGTGATTCTCAAGCACAGAGTCAGGAGTCACCCTGGGGATTGCCGGGTGTGGCCCCAAAACCAAAATAAATAAATAAATAAAAAGGTAAGGACAGAATTGCACGCTCAGAGGCTCAAGGGTTCTGGGATTATAGATGTAGAAGTAGTCAGGTACAGGAATGTGCATTTAAATAAAGTTCAAAGGAAGTCTGAGCCTGGAGAGATGGCACAGTGGGAAGGAGCTAGCATGGCGGGCAGCTGACCTGGACTCCACCCCCAGCACCCCGTATTGGTCCCAGCACCCGTGGGAGTGATCCCGAGAACAGAGTCGGGGTCGAGTCCTGAGCACACCTGGGCTTCCAAAGGAAAAAAAAAAAAACAGAACGAAGCTAATTCATTTATCAAAGGAAATTGAAAGCACAACTCAGTGGCGGGTCCTGGCTCCGTGGGAGAGCGCCTGCCCCCTCGAGCATCGCCAGTGTGTTCCCGACAGCCCCAGGCACTGCTGGGGGCCACCTGGGGCCTGCCCCCTCCCCAACCTCCAGCACCTCCTGGGAGGCCCCAAACCAACAGCAGCTGAAAAGTACAGAAAAGGTGCTCTGATGGGTGATGACGCCCCCACCCGTCTTCCCCCCCCCAAAAAAAAAGCAGCTTGGGAAAAGTTTTTCCAAGCGTCTGGTATAAAATCGGGGTTCTCCTCCCGAAGACGAGCTTGGCGCAGTTTGCCTGGGCGACTGGTGCGGTGCCAGTACTTCCAAGCTCACCCAACCAGCAGCCGTGGATGTTGGGTGGTGGAGTTGGGCACCCAACAAGGCTCGCTTGTTCTTTGTGTCTTAAGCATGTCCCAGGTGGATGTGGATTCAGGGATCGAGAACATGGAGGTGGACGAGAGCGATCGGCGCGAGAAGAGGAGCCTCGGGGAAAAGGTTGGCGAAATGTGGGCCCGCTCCACTCCTGCCGTGTGAGGCCCGGGTCCCCCTCAGCGCCCACCTGCCCGACCGCTGCCAGGGGAGCGCTCTCTGGAGCTCCGTCTCCCTCTCTCTCCCTCCTTTCCTCTCTCTCCCCCTCTCTCCCCCTACCTCGCTCTTTTGTATTTAGTCCACTGCATTGAGGGACCACTCCTGGTGGGCCTTGGGGACCTGTCTGGGATGCTGGGGATCGAATCCGGGTCGGCCGCTGTCCTATCTCTCCAGCCCTGTGTCTCTTGAGCACAGTTGGGTGGTCGAGGTTGGCATCTCTCTGCCGACCCGGGGGTGTGGGTGGGCTGGAGGTCGCGTGTGTAGCTCGCTGTGCTGATCCGTGGGCGCTGGCCTGGCTCATCTCCACGTGGCGGCACACTCCCCTCGGGCCCTCTTTCCGAGAAAACCTTCAGTCATTTGTTTGAGGCCACGCTTTTGTAAGGAATTCCCTTCCAGCTGGTTAGAATCTTTCTGTTGTCCTTTCCCATAAACCAGTAATCCCGCATGGATCTTAGCTTCCCGGGGGCTGATTGGTAGCTGGAGCAAGCGGAGGCCGACCCCACGGCAGAGTGAAGCTTTGGGATGTGTCAAGGCTCAGGGTTTGCTGCCGTCTGAGCTCATTGCCCCGTGTTTAGGAAAAGGCTGTGTGCGTTTGTTGAGTGATTTTATCTGGGGGCAAGGCGGGAGAAGTGTGTGGTCCTGGAGAAGTGACGGGAGGAAATGGTTCGTGACCTCGACTGTTAGCTTGGGCCCCTGGTCCCCCTTCCTACTGTGCGGGTTGGATTTCTGCGGCTGTCCCTGCCCCCGGCATCGGCTTCTTGGCGCTAATCCCTCGATCTTCTTTCTTGCAAGGAGCCCCCCTCGGCTTCGGAGGTGTCTGAGGAACAAGCCTTGCAGCTGGTCTGTAAGATCTTCCGTGTGTCCTGGAAGGACCGTGACCGGGACGTCATCTTCCTCTCCTCCCTCTCTGCGCAGTTTAAGCAGAACCCAAAAGAAGGTGGGTCGGACTCGGGGAGGGGCATCTTCCCCCGCGGGGCATCTCTCCTGAGCCTGTGCATTCCGGGAGAGAACCCGCCCTGCTCTTGGACTTCCCTGATTTCTGTCAAGGAAACTGCATCCATATGTGAATGTCTCCAGATGCAAATTTTCCTTTTTCCCTCTCCTCACAGAATTCCCCCGTCCATTTTTCTTTTCTTTCTTTTTATTATTTGGCCCACACCTCGTTGGTGCTCAAGCCTTATTCCTGACTCTGTGTCGGGTCACTCCTGGCAGTGCACATGTGGGGTGCTGGGGATCGAATCTGGGTTGTCCGGGTACGAGGCCTGCACACTCGCTGCTGTCCTAGCCCTCCCCAGAGAATTTTTTCTTTTTGTTTTTCTTTTGTTTGGGGGCCACGCAGGGAATGCTCAGGGCTGACCCCTGGCTCTGCACTCAGGGCTCGCTCCTGGCAGTGCTCAGAGGGTCAGTGGGATGCTGGGGCTGGAACCCACGTCAGCCGCACGCAGCGCAAGCGTCCTCCCCGCTGTCCTCCCTGTCCCCGGGGATTCTCTCAGCGAGGGCACTTCCTGGCAGCGCAGGGGGCGCACACCCTGTGACCTGTCTCCCAGCTCCCCAGCACAGGGAATCTCACTAAATGGCTTCTCAAGGCGATCTCATTGCTGTATTTTTCTGCGCTTCCCGGCTGCCTTTTGTAATGCCGCCCTAGCCCTGTCTGTGGCTGCAGTGCCAAGACCCCGGGCTTCGCCCACCTTTTCCTTCAGGCGGGCCTTTGGGGGACCGGGCTCAGTTCACTGTGCCCACAGGAGCCTGGGCAGGAGCCGGGTCCCCGTGCTCCTGCAGCGGGTGGAGCTGAGTGCTGGATGCCTCCACTGCCCCGAGCCCGGCTGGTGCTTCCAGGCGTGGTCTGGGGTCTCCGAAGCTGGAGTCGAGGTGGGGGCAGCAGCTCGGCAGCCTGCGCGGCCGCGTCTGGTCAGTCTCCGGATTCCGTTCTTCCAGGACACGGTTGTTTTTTTAAATTGGGCCACGCTGACCTGTCTTCAGGGCTGACTCCTGGCTCTGTGCTCAGGGATCACCCCTGGTGGGTTGGGGGGACCCTGTGGGCTGCCAGGGATTGAATCTGGGCTGACCCTGTGCCAGCGCGTTTTTCTCTGCTCCAGCCCCTCCCCTGTTCAGTCCCGTGTGGGACCCTCTTAGCCCGACTGTTCAGGACCGTGTATGACCACCTCAGCCCGACTCCTCAGGACTGTGTGTGGCCCCCTCAGCCTGACTCTTCAGGACCGTGTGACCCTCTCATCCGACTGTTCAGGACTGTGTCACCCCCTCAGCCTGACTCTTCAGGACCGTGTGATCCCCCCCTCAGCCTGACCAGGACCGTGTGACCCCTGAGCCCCACTTAACAGGACCATGTGTGACCCCCGCCTTTCTCCTGCCCCTCCCACAGTGTTCTCAGACTTTAAGGATTTGATTGGCCAGATTTTGATGGAAGTGCTAATGATGTCCACCCAGACTCGCGACGAAAACCCGTTTGCCAGTCTGACGGCCACGTCCCAGCCCATCACCGCGGCCGCTCGGTCCCCGGACCGCAGTCTCCTGCTCAATGCTGGCTCCAACCCGGGCACCAGCCCCATGCTCTGCAGCGTGGGCTCCCTCGGGGTCGGCTCCCTGTCCAGGTCAGTGGGGGGCCGGGCAGGGCGTGGCTGCCCTAGCTCGCTCTCGTCGGGGTTGGGCTCGGGGTTGGGGCGTTGGCACGCACAGTCCCCGAGCGCTGGCTGGCGCTCTGCCGGGGGCAGATTTCTTCTCCGGAGAGTCGACGTGGCCATCTCGTAAGTGGACCCTCTCGGTCAGCGCGGGGGCTCCGCGCGTCCGCCCCCCTGCAGAACGGCACTTGGCCCTCACAGCTGCGGCTTTCCTCGGACGCTGTTCACTCCGGTTCTGTCCTCAGCTTCTCCTTCCTCTCTCTGCACCGTAGCCTCTATGAGACTAGCCCCACCCCCAGCCCGGGCGCCTGCCCCTGTCTCGCCTCGCCTGTCCGCGCCGCCCTGTGGCCTGGCACAGCCTCTCCCCGGTACCGGCCCTACACGGTCACGCACCCCTGGGGCGCTCCTGGCACGCCCCGGCCCCCAACCACCTCAAGCCTGTCCGCTCTGGCCGGTAGCCCTCCCGCAGTGCCTGCCGGCCCATCCACACTCACGGCCCCCGATGGCGGGCCCCTGCTCCCAGCCGCCACCGCCGGCAGACGGCCCTCCTCCCTGAGGATTTCCCCGAGGTACTTAGTCGCCGGAGAAAGGGGCTGAGCCCGGGCCGGGCGCCCCAGTGTGTGACCCTAATTGCTGCCCGGCTTGCTGCTTCGGCCAAGCTTCCTTATAACATGGGGAGGGGGGGCTGCTGTGGCCACGCCCGTCCCCGTCACCCCCCCCCGCCCCCCCCCCCCCCCCCCCCCGTACTCACTCCCCATCTTGTCCCCTCGAGGTGCATCCCCGAGGCAGGGCTGCCTAAGCTGGAGGGTCGGGGCTCACAGAACCATACTTGGGCGTTTTAGTCCGTTGTGTTTTATTTCGTTTTATTCCGTTCCATGAGATGCAGTTCTCGTCTGACTGGGGGGAGAGGGGCGCTCCTGCCGACTCTGGTTGGGTGGGCCCCGTCTCTCCCCGGTGCTGTGCTGTCTGCCTCTTAGAGATACCTCGGTGACCCACTCGTGCCGCTCAGCCCCACGCTGGGGATGTGCTTGGCTGCATGTGTGCTTGGGTTGCGGGGGACTTCCGGGTGAGATTTCCCTCCTGAGGGGTCGGGGGTGGGGGGCTGCCGTGGGTTTTCCTCTGTACCCTGATGACCTTTTCTGCTTCTGTTGCGCTAGTCCATACGACAGTCCCTTCTCCTTCCTCTTCCTCGCGCTTTCTGGGGACAGTAGTGATGAAGATGGAGCAGAAGAGGATGAAGGTGGTGGTGATGAGTTTGCCTGTGTCCAGTTTGGGCCCAGGTATCCGAGGAGTGTGATGCCTGCATGAGCCCCAGCGCTTAAGAACTAATGTCTGTGCGCCCTGGTTAGGGGGTGCCCTGCATCCCAGCACAGAGAGGTGGCCCGGGGGGTCGCCAGGGCAGGAACAGGGTGGAGGGGGGCTCAGAAGGCTGGGGCGCAGACTTTGCATGTGGGGGCTGCGGGCTTGCACCCCAGCTCCCCATGGTCTCTCCTCTCCCCCGAGCACTGAACCGGGCGTGCCCCATAGCAGGGCGACCCTTTGTTGGTGTCACGTCGCTCTGGCATTGGTCACTGGGTTTGGAGGAGAGCTCAGGTGGGCTGCTTCCGAGAAAGGAGCACCAGTGGGAGCCTTAGCCAGGAGTCAGCCCCTTTCCCCTCTCTCAAAAGTGCCTGGTGCTCAGGGAGCCCACAGGGAGGAGGACGTGCCCATGTTCCTCCCCCTGGCTGGAGGAAAGGCTGGCCGGGGCGCCCGCTGGGGCCAGACTCACGTCCCTGTCCACGGGAGAGCGCGTGGGGATGAGTCCCTGGGGGCAGGCGGGGACCGTGCCTCCACGGCTCACCTTGGTTTTCAGCATCACCTTTGACCTTGGTGGAGCTGAAGCCACTCTCTGGGCAGGCCGGCGGCCCATGGTTTCCGAGGTGACTCTGAGCCCGAGCTTACAATAATAGCACCTTCTTCCCTGCCGCTGACTCATGGTCTCAGATGTGCTCTTAAATCGAAATTTCCTCCGGACCCGTTGGGTTCAGAAATAACTCTGGGCTAAAAATAGCGGCGCGGCGGGAGTCGTGCACCTCATTAAGGTGGATGGCCGTTGGGCGAGCAGGGGCTGTTGGTGCCCGCCGGGCATCTGTCCAGAAGGTTGGTGTGTGCAGCGTTCCAGGGCTTTCCATGCCTGTTCTTCTGCATGGGACTTGGTGGTACTCACCCTCTGGCGGTGCCCGTCCCTGCCCCCCTCCAGGCCAGGCTGGCTTTGCTGGGGTGCGGGATCTCTCAGCCCCCCTCACTTTGGTGTTTCCTAACGGAGAGACGGTCTGCAGCGTCCGCTCCCTTCTCTGGACCTGCCCTATATGTGGCGCCTACAGATGTGCAGGAAGTGATTCTCATCGTGGAATCAGGAAGTGACGGTGTTCTGGCGTGCTGGGCGTCCAGCAGCATGGCAGAGCTCAGAATGAATGCTCCCCTGAGCCCCCCAGGAGCACGCCCTGACCCCTCCCAGAGCCTGCACCCCAGCTGGTCCTGTCCCAGGTCACCCCCATAACCTGAAGCTTGCTTCTGTACCCCAGGTCACTGCTGCACCTCCAGGTCACCCCTTAAACCACAGCTTGCTCCTATAACCCCGCTCGCCCCTGCCCCCCAGGTGACCCTTCCACCCCCCTGCACCCCCAGGTCACCCCTCCAACCCCCTGCACCCCCAGGTTACCCCTCTAATTCCCTGTACCCCCAGGTCACCCCTTTAACTCCTTGAAGACCTAGGTCACCCCTCTAATCCCCTGCACTTCCAGGTCACCCCTGAACCCCCACCCTGTGCTACCTTCCTGCCACACTCTGGTTCCGGGGGTCCCCCGTCACCTTGTTCCTTTTGGGTCATTCCTCTGTCTTTGGTGAGAAAGAGCCGCGTTGCACCCCTGTCTGTCTGTCCTGAAAGAGGAACTTGGGTCCGGGTTTTGCAGGTTCTGAGCGAAAGGCATGTGAAGCCAGGAAACCCTCGGGACTAAGGAATGTGTGTGGGCAGGGTGAGCGCAGAGACCCGCGGTCACGGGGGTGAGAGGCGGGTTTCTCATCCCCTTTCAGGTTTGCCCTCCCAGAGCGTCGTTGGCTTTGATGCCAGCCGTTCTGCCCTTGGAAGGGGAATGTTCGAGAAGATGCACCGTGCTGTGTCCTTCCCTCGGAAGGCTCACGGGCTCGCCGCCACCTGTCCAGTTTCTGGGGGTGGAGGTGACAGGTGCGAGGGTCGCTCCAGGGAGGTCACGGGCGATTTCCTAGGAAGTTGGCTTTTCTCCTCCTCAGATAACTGAGAGTCACGCGCCTCAGAGAGGAAGGGGCTTGTGCGGCTTATTCCTGCACCCTGGTTTGATGGCTCCCTGCCGGGCAGAGGCATGACACAGCCAGGAAGGGGGCATCATCCAGCATGCAAAGTTGGGGTCACGTCCCGACTCCCCTGGCAGCACCCCCCATGCCTCTAGCTGGTGCGCGCCTTAACACCATATGCACTCCTCTGGATAGCACACGTGCGCGCACACATCGGAATTCCTGCCCTGCTGTGGGCACGCATGCATGCAACACACACATCACACATGCCCCTGTAGCTGGTGCACACACACACACACATCACACACAGTATGCACACACCTCCTTTGCTGGGGCACACACATGCACGTACACACACGCACGCACACACACTCACATATGCCCTCGCTCTGTGGATTCATCCTCTTTTTTTTTTTTTTTTTTTTCCTTTTTGGGTCACTCCCGGCAATGCACAGGTGTTACTCCTGGCTCATGCACTCAGGAATTCCTCCTGGCAGTGCTCGGGGGACCATATGGGATGTTGGGAATCGAACCCGGGTCGGCCGCGTGCAAGGCAAACGCCCTCCCCGCTGTGCTATCGCTCCTGCCCCTGTGGATTCATTCTCTAGGTCGCTGCCATTGAGCGTTCCCAGACAGCATTGAGGTGACTGACAAAGGAAATAGGCAAAGACTTTCTGCTTTGGGTTTTTCCAAGCACTTGGTGTTCTTTGGTCCCTCTGTCCTCCTCCAGGCCCGTGGACAGGCTGCCCTGTTCGTCTGGGGGCCACGCCCCACCCGCCCACCGAGCCCAGGGGGCGCTGACGCCACGGAATACAGCACTGCTCTCACTTCTCTGGGGAGGTGCAAAACCCCGGCATCGGCGACCGAAAAGAGGGAGTTATTATTCCTGTGGCAGCAGAAAAGAAGCTGCAGGGAAATTTTGGAAGAAACAAGTTTTCTTGGTACATTTAAAATGGAATTCAGGGACTGGAGCTGTATTACGGTGGGGAGGGCGCCTACCTTGCACGCGGCCGACCCAGCACCCCATATGGTCCCCGAGCAACACCAGGAGTGATTCCTGAGCCAGGAGGAAGCCCTGAGCAGGGCTAGGCGTGGCCCAGAAAGGAATCCAGTTTGTACAGATACAAATTATAAATCCAGCCTGGTGCTGTTATTGGAAAGTGGTTCTGTTCTCCTGGGAGGAGGGGTACACAGATGCTTCTGAGGCTGTGGCCCCTGGCAGGACCCCATACTCTGTTGGTGACCTCAGCGGTGCCAGGCCCGAGCACGCCACATCACTGGAAGATACCCCACCCCCTTGTTTAATTTATTTTTTGTTTGGGGGCCACACCCAGAGATGCTTCCGTGTTTCTCCTGGCTCTGCACTCCGGGATCTCTCCTGGCAGTGCTTGGGGGACCCTGTGGGGTGTTTGTTGGGGATCGAACCCAAGTCGGCTACGTGCCAGGCAAATGCCTTTCCCGCTGTGCTATTGCTCCAGCCCCAGCCCTCCCAAATTCCTGATATTCCACATGTCACAGTTGTAAAGTGACATGAATTTTGTACCTTTTTTTTTTTAAATTAGTGAAACACCATGAGGTACAGTTGTAGACTTACAAATTTTGTGCTTGGGTTTCAGTTACACAATGATTGAGTACCCATCCCTCCACCAGTGCCCATTCCCCACCTCCAGTGCTCCCACTATCCCTCCCACCCCCTTACCCCCCTTGTGGCAGGGCATTCCCTTTTGTTCTCTCTCTCCTTTTGGGTGCTGTGGTTTACAAAAGGGGCATTGAGTGGCAGTCGTGTTCGGTCTATAGTGTATTTTCAGCATGTATCTCTCATCCTGGGAGGATCCTCCCAATACCCTTTAGTTGGTGCTCCCCTCTCTATCTGAGCTGCCTTCTCCCCTAGCATGTGCGACTGGCCTCCAAGCCATAGGGTGAACCTCCTGGTACTTATCTCGGCTATTCTTGGATGTTAGTCTCCCAGTTTGTTACTTTATGTTCCCCAGATGAATGCAATCTTTCTATGTCTGTCCCTCTCTTTCTGACTCATTTCACTTAGCATGATACTTTCCATGTAGTACCACTTGTATGCAAATTTCATGACTTCATCTTTTCTAACAGCTGCATAGTACTCCATTATGTAGATGTACCAAAGTTTCTTTAACCAGTCATCTGTTTTTGGGCGCTCGGGTTTTTTCCAGATTTTGGCTATTGTGAACAGTGCAGCAGTGAACATAGATGTGCAGATGTTACTTCGACTATGCTTTTTTGCCTCTCCGGGATATTTTCCCAGCAGTGGTATTGCTAGGTCAAATGGGAGCTCAATTTCTAATTTTTTGAGAAACGTCCAAACTGTTTTCCAAAAGGGCTGAACCAGTCGGCATTCCCACCAGCAGTCAAGGAGGGTCCCTTTCTCGCCACATCCACGCCAGCACCGGTTGCTTTTGTTCTTTTGGATGTGGAATTTTGTACCATTTTTAAGGGGAAAAGAGAATATCAAAATGTTTATTGAGTGCCAGAGAAATAGCTCAGTGGGTGGCAGCAGATGATTGGCTGTGGGTGGTGCGGGTTTGAGGCCCTCATCATAGGATTCCCCAGACACCACTAGGGGTGACCTCTGAGCACTGAACCCTGAGCCCGGGCGTAGCTCCTGTGCACTGTTGGACGTGGCCCAAAACCAGAAACAAAAGTTTCCTGATAGCGTCTTCGTCTCGCATCTAAGTTCTTTGCCCCTTTCTCCTTTAGAGCCAAATTCCAAATACCTGTTCGGGCAATACACCCAATGATGCTCGGGGGTTACTCCTGGCTCTGTGCTCACGAATTACTCCTGCCAGGGTTCAGGGGACCATACGGGTGCCTGGGATCGAAACAGGGTCCACCACGTGCAAAGCAAGTGCCCTTCCCGTGGGCCTGTCCCTCCTGCCCTCACAGCATCGCCCTTGTGCGTCTGCGGAGCCGACAGAGCTGGGAGAGAGACAGCGTGGCCCTGAGTATATCCCTGGCACCCTTGCCGCCCAGCACTGCGGGTGCCGTCTGTATGCTGCTGGTCATGGCCTCACCAAGGGGGGGATTCTGATGCCTGTTTGGCTGGAGGGGGCCGCCTCTCGTGTCTGCTGAGGCCTGCGCCCGTCTCCACTCGGCCCGGGTCTGCTTGGCCCCCTCACAGCTGCATGCTGGGCTTGGCTCAGCCTTTCCCGTTGGGTCGGCCTTTTGTTTCCACTTCCTGGCGTGTGAGGACCCCCCCCCCCCACCACCCCGCCAGACCCATCCCTGGCCGCAGCCCTCCTTTCAGTGGGATGGCGTCTCCCTTCCAAGCGATCAACTCCAGCGATCCTAACTTCACCCACGGGGCAGTGCCCAGCGACTCTGTGATGCGGCTTGGGGCCTGGTCTCTGGCTTGGTTGTCAGCGCTAGCACAAGGCAGGCAGAAGTCGAAACTCCCCGAGGTAACAAGAGCACAAGCCGCAGGGCTTTCCTTGGTTTGCTGTTGGGGGCCATGGCAGGTGGTCACCAGGGTCCACTGCCAGTGGTGCTGGGGGTCCAGGCAGTGCTGGGGATCTCACCTGGGGCTCCCACATGCAGGGCCCGTGCTCATGCCCTGGGAACTGCCCCTCCCCCTCTTCCTCCTCCTCTTCCTCCTCCTCATGCTCAGGGCTTCCTCCTGGCCCAGGAGGCTGTTTGGGAAGCCGGGAATCGAACCCAGCCGTCTGCTTGCAAGGCAGGAGCCATCTCCGCTGTACTCTCTCTCTGGATGTTCTCTTGAGGGCTCCCCCCCGCTGCTGCCTGTCCCTGCACTGCTTTGGGGGGAGTGGGGGGTGCTTGCCAGTCGCCAGCAGGAGCCCGTGGGCCTTCCTTTCTGCCAGGCCCTGCAGTTAAGTCATAGGCATCCCAGTGGCCGGGTCGGTCGCACCTGCAGCCGGGACGGGGACCCTGGCGTCCTGTCTCCTTGGCTGCATACCAGGTTTCCTCGAGTTTGCTGGTTTTCCTGAATTACTGAGTAAGTCAGAGATGTGTCCCCTGCCGTCCACGCTCTTTCCCCATGCCTGTGCCCGGGGCACCATAACGTTGCTGTGCCTGCTGGTGCCCAGGGCTCGGGTGACCACACGGGGTGCTGGGAACCGAGCCCACGCTGTCCGTGGAGGCAGGCGCCTCCCTTTCCTTCCCCCGTGGCCTGCTGTCCGTTTCTGCTTCTGCCGTGTGCCCAGGTTGAGTGGGGCCTCCATGTTCTCCCAGCCCTTCTCTCCTTGCCTGGGTCGTTTTTAGAAGTTTCTCTTCACACGTTTCCTTTTCATTTCAAAGCTGGCTTCCTCCTGTGCCAAGATGAGTCTGTGTCTCGTGGCTCAGACCCAGTGAGTCCGTGGGTTACGGTGACTGAGACTTGGTGCCGCCTCCCCGCCCCCTCTCGCGACTGTGTCTGGCTCTGAGCGAGAATCGAGTTTCCTGCCGCCTGGCCTGAGGCCCGACCCGCACGCGGGGCTTTGATGGGCTTTCACACAGAAAAAACATGCTGGGGTGTGTGTGTGTGTGTGTGTGTGTGTGTTGCCTAGTGCTGAGCAATGTGTTTTGATAGGCTTTTTCACAGAAAGTGCTGGAAGTGTGTGTGTGTGTGTGTGTGTGTGTGTGTGTGTGTGTGTGTGTGTGTTCAGTGTGCTCCGTGCTGAGCCTATGGCCAGAAGAGGAGGGGTGCTGTGGCGGCTCCCCGGGGCCTGGTCTTGTCCTTTTCCCCCACGTCCCTGCGTGCAGCGGCCAGTGTGGCTTGTGCGTGGGCACACCCTTCCCGGGCCAGCCCTTGGACCTGGCCTTCGTCTTCCTGGGTGGCAGGTGCCCGGCCAGCAGGTCAGGTGCTGTGCAGCTGGGCGGCCTCTGCTAGCGGTGACGTGTTTGCCAAGGGGGCGCGGGGCGGCGGGCGGGGGTGGGGCTGTGTCGGGGCTCGGGCCTTCTAACAGGTGTGCTGCTGCTCGTCGCCCCTATCCCAGGGGTGAGCGAGCGAGAGACGAGACTCTCCCCTTTTCTCTTCTCTCCCGGAAAGTTTGGGAGCCTCTGGCGGGGCGAGCACTTGGGACTCCTACAGCGACCACTTCACCATCGACACCTGCAAGGAGACGGACATGCTGAACTACCTCATCGAGTGTTTCGACCGAGTGGGGATAGAGGAGAAGAAGGCACCAAAGGTAACGCGCACGGCTGCGTTCCACTTACACACGGGTGTGCGCGCACGTGCGTACACGCACACACACACGCATACGCTCCTGGTTAGTGATCAGTGATCCCCCTCAAGGTACTAGGACATTAGCTCCATTACACACACACACACAGTCATTGACACAAACAGCCTGGTTAGTGATCAGTAACCCCAGTCAGAGTAACATGATACAACTTCTTTTTTCTTTTCACACACACACACACACACACACACACACACACACACACACACCTGGTTAGTCTGGTTAGTGACCAATAATCCTCCTAAGGATAATAGTGCACACACTATTCTGGTTTTTTTTTTTTTTTTTTGCTTTTTTGGGTCACACCCGGCAATGCACAGGGGCTACTCCTGGCTTTGCACTCAGGACTTACTCCTGGCGGTGCTCAGGGGACCATGTGGGATGCCGAGCTGTGCATCACCAGGTGTGGCCAACCTCTCCTCGCCCCCGCCCCAGAAAACAAAGCTAATATGACAGGCGTGCACGCACATGCATACACACACACACACACACACACACACACACACACACACTCCTGGTTAGTGGTCCATCTGTAATTCCCCTCCCCTTTGGAGTGTTCATGTACTGATTTAGCCAGGAAAGAGACAGGTGGACAATTACTTGGCCCCGGGCTGGGTGGAGGGAGGAGTCCAGGGCCCAGTGACGTTGTCCCCGAGATTGGTGGGCCCTTGTTGTCGAGATGTGACACCATTGTCCTAGTTCTCACCAGGCCCAGTGCTGAGCCGCTTTGGTTGTTTGCTGCTCCCCGTGTGACCGGGAAATAGTATTCTTCCCCCTGTAAGTAGGAACCTCAGGGATGCGGGGAAATCATCAGGACCACCGAGATAATGAAATGGCACAGCCGGTGCCTGGGTCAGCTCCTCCTTGCTGACTCCCGACTGGCTTGTTTCGTTCCCGCCCCGCGGCTCCCTTAGAAGCTGATCCGGGGGTTCCCCATCACTTCCTTCGCCTCTCGAACCTGAGCGAAAGCCAAGGATGTGGGCGTCTTGGTGGCGCCCGAGCGCCCGCTGCACCCCTGGCCGACGCCATCCCCGTCGCTTCCCTGCCTGTGCCCACGTGCTGGGGGACGCCTGAGGCTGCAGCCAGGCTGGTTGCGCGTCGGTAACCTGCCGTCCCCTCCTCTGCAGATGTGCAGCCAGCCCGCAGTCAGCCAGCTTCTGAGCAACATCCGCTCCCAGTGCATCTCCCACACGGCGCTCGTGCTCCAGGGCTCCCTCACTCAGCCAAGGTAGGAACCTCTTCCCCCTCCCCCGTGCCGCCCTGGCCCCTTTCTCCCGGCCAGGAACGAGACGGTCTCCGTCCCGCCTCTCTCCGGACCCCAGCACGCTTTGCTCCTAGGTAGGCGAAACCCTTTCTAAAAAGAACTCAGGGATGTTTGAAGAGTTCTCTGTCCTCTCGTCCTCCGTGGAGCTACATCACTGCTGACGTGGGTGGACACCGAGGCAGCACATTTGTATTTTCATTTCAAACCACCTCCTTAAGGGCCAGAGAGAGAGTGCAGTGGGCAGGGCCTGGCATGTGTCTGATCTGGTTTTGATCTTGCGCATCTGTATGGTCCCCCCGAGCACTGCCAGGAGTGATTCCTGAGTGCAGAGCCAGGAGTGACCCCTGGGCATCACCAGGCGTCACCCCGAAACAAAAAATATCAAACTCATTTTGGGGACAGATTGTATAGCAGGTTGACCGCTGACCTGGGTTCGATCCCTGGCATCCTCTATGGTCCCCCAAGCCCTCCAGGAGTTGATTCCTGAGTGCAGAGCCAGGTGTAACTGCTGATCTGGGTATGACCCAGAAACCAAGAGGAAAAAGCAGCTGCTTGAGCCCCATCGAAGGGGCTCACAAAAGCACACAGATCTCTTTCCCCACAGAGTCTGGCTCTGTGATAAGGAGCAGTCGTGGGTTAGAAAACTGAGCACACATCCAAGTACGGGGGTTTTATGTTTCTACAAATAAAGGTTTTAAGTTTAAGAAAAGGGTTATATTGTATATTTCATTCTTTTGTATGCAAAACGACTTAAAGGGAGAAGTGGTAATCTTAACTTGTTGTAGATTTTCTGCTATCATTTTCTGTCCTGTAGCCAGGGGTTTTGAAAGATCTCAAAAAGAAAAATGGTATATGTGTATCATAGAATGGAAAAATTAAGTCCTTAAGCATTGCTGACCTATTTATCAATTGGATGAGGCAGAAAAAATGAGAGACTTGCTTGGCGCTGGTGGTTTTGGGGGAGTCTTCCCGGGTGGTGCTCAGGGATCACTCCTGGAGGAACTTGAGGACCCTGCGGGATGCTGGGGATTGAACCCGGGTCAGCCATGTGCAAGGCAGCGCCTCTGTACTGCCTCTCAAGCCCCCAAAGAGACCGCTTTGTGTTTTAAAGAGCTGCAGTTAGAAATAGATCCGTTCTTTGAAACTTCTATCATTTTATTTGTCAGACCAAAAAAAAAAAAGAAAAAAAAAGTGGTGCTTAGTGCTAGGAAGGGCAAGCTTGCTGCAGGCCAGGGCGGTGTTTGGAGAGCGTTGGCGCTCGCTCACTGCTGTCCCGGCCCGGCCCCAGGTCCCCGCAGCAGCCTTCCTTCCTGGTGCCCTACATGCTCTGCCGGAATCTCCCGTACGGCTTCATTCAGGAGCTTGTGAGAACCACTCACCAGGACGAAGACGTGTTCAAGCAGGTGAGTCTGCTGCCGCGGTGCCAAGAAGGGTTTCCTAATGTGTCCCGCAAGCTTCTGCCTTGGGATCTGAATGTCCTGGTGTGGCTCCTGCAGAGCGACCGGCCCGAAGATGCCCGTGGCAGCCGCCTCCTCCACGCATGCGCCATCGGGCCAGGCGCTTGGCGAGCTTCTTCATTGGGGTTGGTTTTTTTATTTTTTGTCTTTTTGAGTCACACCCAGCGATGCTCAGGGCTTACTCCTGGCTCTGCACTCAGGAATCACTCCTGACAGTGCTCCGGGGACCATATGGGATGCTGGGGATTGAACCCTGGTCGGCCGCATACAAGGCAAATGCCCTCCCCACTGTCCTGTCGCTCCAGCCCCGTGGGTGGTTATTTTTGGTTCGGGGTGCTCGGGGCTACTACTCGCTCAGTCCTTCAGGGTCAGTTGTGGTCTGGACCCAGGCTGGGGCCTTGGCCTCCTGCAGGCCCAGCAGGAAATTTCACCCAAGAGCACCCAGGGCGAGCCTTAGGCGGGAGGCGCGTTTGCCGCCTGGTGTGTTGGCAGCTGGAGCTCCTTGTTTCTCCCCGCTGGCCCTGGGCTTGGCTCGCACACAGTGAATCGCGCGTTCACGTGTGGCATCTTGTAGAAGCAAGGGCCGGTGCAGACACGGTCCCTGATAATCAAGCTGTTTGGGTAGTCCTGAAGGGTTCTTCTAACATAAGCGGCAGGGTCTGATATTTCGGTTTTGGTTTGCTTTATTTTTGTGTTTAGCTTTTTGGAGATGCTTAGGACATACTCAGGGATCAAACCCTGTTTGCCCACCTCCAAGGCAGACGTCCTCCCCACTGTGCTATTGCTCTGGCCCCATTGTGTTTGTTTTTTAATTATAGTTTAGGTTATGTGCAAGAGTGTTGACATTTGTGGTCTTGGTGTCCATAGTTACCTCACCACCCCCAAACGGCCTGGGATAATTTTTCAGTGTTTTGTTTTTTTTTTTAATTATCTTTCTGTGTTTTGGGCTACACCCAGTAGTGCTCAGGACTTAATCCTCCTTCTCCGTGCTCAGGGATGTTAGGGGACCATGTCGGGTGCCAGGGGCCAGACGGGAGTCTGTCGCATGCTGGGTAGATGCCTTTCCCTGTTCTTTTCCTGCTCTTCCTTCCTGCCCTAACCGCTCTCCCAGCGTTGCATTGATCCTGCAAAACTCTTGCCAGTTGCTTTCTGATCCTGGGCTCCAGGTTTAAAGGAGCAGACTCCTTCACGACAGGATCACTCGTACTCTGCCTTGCTCTGAGTAGGACAGGGAACGTTCCAGGCTTTCTAGTGCTTCCTGGAACACTCCCTCTTGGAAGGAGTCAGTGTTGGTGTACCAGATTGTCAGCTGTTGTTGACAACATTTTCTACGTAACATTACTAGTCCTGCATCCCAGCCCTCTCTCCCTGGGCTGATCCGTGAGTGCCTGGTGAGTTTGGAAGAAGAGCCGGCAGATCCCGCCTAGTGCCCCTGTGTTAGTGCTCAGCTGGTGAATTTGATGTCAGGTTACTCTGTCAATTATACAGAGGTAAGACCTTCCAGTAAAGCCTTTTTTTTTTTAATTTTTTTTTCTTTTTGGGTCACACCCAGGGATGATGCTGGGGTTACTCCTGGCTCATGCACTCAGGAATTATCCCTGGCGGTGCTCAGGGGACCATATGGGATGCTGGGAATCGAATCCCAGTTGGCCGCATGCAGGGTAAACGTTCTACCCACTGTGCTATCACTACAGCCCCCTAAAGCCTTTTTTTCCCCATTCCCCCCCCCCTTTTTTCTTTTTGGGTCACACCTGGTGATGCACAGGGGTTACTCCTGGCTCTGCACTCAGGAGTTACTCCTGGCGGTGCTCAGGGGACCCTATGGGATGCTGGGAATCGAACCCGGGTCGGCCACGTTCAAGGCCAACACCCTACCTGCTGTGCTATTGCTCCAGCCCCCCCCACCCTTTTTTGAAACATCACCAGCTGTCTCTTTGTTCCCCATAATTAAAGTTAGTGGAAAATCATATGTATTCTGCCCCTTGTTCTCTTTACAATAAACAGGGAACACAGGAAAGAATTAGAGGTGGGAGGCAGCAAAGACTTATTTTTTCAAAACTGATTGGGTCGAGAAAATGCGGGTGCGTCACATACACTTGCTTTACAAACAGGTGCCGCTTGGTAATTGCACTCGAGCTGTTGGCCGAGGCCTGCAGAGCTGTTTGAATTCTGGGGGGTACCCACAGCAGACCCCAGATCTCTGACTTCCTGACTCATCACAGCGAGTCCTTCCAGCAGGACTTCCGGGGCCCTGCGGGAGAGCAGAGCCACGAGCAGCGGCTGGATCCTGATCCTTCTACGTGACGGAGCTTTGTGGGCCGGGCTCAGGGGACAGGCTGGGGTCCGGACACAGCGCCCTGTTGCCTGGCTCCTGCCCGTCCTCATTGTCGCTGCTGTCCCTGCTGTTTTGTCTTGCAGATCTTTATCCCTGTCTTACAAGGCCTGGCTCTCGCTGCCAAAGAGTGTTCCCTGGACAGCGACTACTTCAAGTACCCGCTCATGGTAAGGCGGCAGACGCTGTCCCGGTTGGCAGGTGCCGACTGTGACGTCTCATTGTGGGTTGTGCTGGGAGAAGCCTCAGTGACGGCTTGGACTGGCCCTGGGACGGCCCAGACTCTGTCCCCATCTGCCTGCGGGCGATGCTTGCTGGCAGGATCCTGGGGCTCTGCCCTGTTTGAGACGGGTTTTGTTTTTTTCTTTAGGGGTGAGTGTTTGGGGCCACACTCAGCAGTGCAGCTTGGTGCAGGAGGGTTCCTTCTTGGTGGTTCTCAGGGACCACGTGGTGCAAGGGATTGGGCCCAGGGCTCCCACCTGCATTCCAGCACTTGGCCTCACCCTCTGGCCCAGAATTTATTATGAGAAATGCATGTGAAATGGGAGGTGTACTAAGGAAACTATTTTTATTTTTCCTTTTGTGTGTGTGTGTGTTTGGGGGGAGGGGAGTTTGGGCCACACCCAGCAGCGTTCAGGGGTTGCTCCTGGCTCTGTACTCAGGGGTCACTCCTGGTGGTGCTCAGGGGACCCTGTGTAATGTCGGGGGTCAAACCTGGGCTGGCGGCATTCAGGGTAAGCACCCTCCCCACTGTACTAAGCCCCAGCCCCTATTTTTTTATCTTTTTGTCGTGACTTTCTGCAGGAAGCTCAGAGTGGTTTTCTTGCTTGCCGTTCTTGATCCTATGGGTTTTCTTCAGGCGGGCTGGGGCCAGCAGAGCAGTGGACAGGCCATGCTGAGTGACCTCAGGAATAACGGCTCTTTTTTTAAAAAAAAATTTTTAAATTTTATTTTCATAAAATTGTTCACAGTAATCATTTACATTTCAACACCAAGTCTACCACCATTACACCTTCCCAGCACAGTATTTCTTTTTCTTTTTTTTTTCCTTTTGGGTCACACCCGGCGATGCTCGGGGGTTACTCCTGGCTCATGCACTCAGGAATCGCTCCTGGCGGTGCTCGGGGGACCATATGGGGTGCTGGGAATCAAACCTGTGTTGGCCATGTTGGCTGTGTGCAAGGCAAACGCCCTACCCGCTGTGCTATCGCTCCAGCCCCCCAGCACAGTATTTCAGAGTTTCCCACCACCACTCAAGCTGCCCCCTAGGCAGATGCTAAATAGTTTATTTTGTATTGCTTGTGATGAATAGTACGAGATGTTGCGTGGCCAAGAAAAGCTGGGTTTCTAAAATTTTTAAATATTTGGGGTCTGGAGGCATCTCTGTGGCCTGCTACTCTCTTCCGAGATTCTTTTCTGAGGGTCTGAATCCTGGCTGTTAACAGGCTTAAATGGAGCCCACAGGCAGTTTGTGGGTGTGACTGGCAGGGAACCTGAAGGGCGGGGAGATAGGGGGAGGTCACCCATTCCTGACTCCGTGAAGCCTGGAGTTTTCAGTCACTAGTCCCGCTTACCCGGGGTTTTCAGCGTGTTCATTCTCATACGTTTGGAGCGTGAGACGAGCCTGTGAAGGTCGGTCGTGAGCGTGGCGGTGATTGGGTTCTGGAGGTTAGCATTTGCCAGGGTTCCTTTGGGACAGACACACCTGCCCCTGTCTGAGGTGCTCCGGTGAAATCATCCTGGCACAGGGTGAGGAGACATCTCTGCGATGCGCTGCTCTCTTCTGAGATTCATTTGTGAGTCTCTGATTTTGATCTCTTTCAAGATTTATTTATGGGTCTCTGAAGCGAGGCTGATAGATGAACTTGTATAGCTGTACTGGAGGTGGTTTGTGGGCGTGGCTCCCACATACCTAACTCGTGGCCGTTTAATTTCTCGGGAAACTTGTTCCCAAGTTGTTGGGGTCCAGCCAGAGGCACAGCAGCAATTTTTTGGTATCAGGAAGCCTGCAGGCACCATCAGGCTGCTGATGCACTTGCCCGGCAGGTACAGGTTGGCCTGCTGGCGGCACCGTACCCGAGGGATGGCGGCTCTTACAGAGATGTTGGGACCAACGAGGCACTCGGCTCTTTCCTTCTCTGAGTTTGCCTCACTGAAATTCAGGAGAAAACTCCCCTCAGGTATCACAGGCTGTTCAGAAACCCAAAGGCCGACAGCGAAACGCAGAACTCTGACCTGGAACCCAGAGTCCCGTGGAGGGGCGGCGGGGGGGGGGGGTCCCTGTCAGCTCCCTGTTGGCGCCCTGTTCTGTCCTCGGTCTGCTGCCTTCTCCATCCTGTCAGTCCTTGACTTCCCCCTCCCTGGGGACATGGGCACTGGAGGGACAGGATGCCTCCCCTCGGGTGCTCGCCTCCGCTGGGAGACAAGACGGAGACACAGTCCACTGGTCCCCTGGGGCAGATGCCCAGGCTTGGCACCAGAGAGTCAGCTGGTGAGCCCCCGGCGGGGATGTCAGGAGCAGAAGCCCGTGAGCACCCTCAGCTGGGTCCTTGGAGGGGAGCAGGAACCCATGAGCCCAGGTCCTGAAGGTCTTCCTCGGGGCTCGGGTTCAGTGTTCCCTAACAGGACCCCTCCAGTCCTGCTGCGTGACAGACAGGGAGAAGCCTGGTGGCCCATGTCCAGACTGCCATTGTCACTGTCCTGAGTGCAGAGCCCCTGCTGTTTCCTGGGAGGTTTGGTTTGACTTCATATGAGTGTCTGATGTCCCCAGAGGCTTTCGTGGTCCAGACCGGCGGCCTGCGGTGCGGCAAGGGACCTGATGAGGTCTGTGACGATGGCACTGGATCTTCCCCGGGGGGTGGTTTGTTTGGGGCCGCACCGGTGATGCTCAGGGCATGGCTCTGCGCTCAGGGGTCACTCCTGGCAGGGCTGAGGGGCCGTATGCGATGCTGAGGATTGAATCCTGGTGGGCTGCGTGCAAGGCAAGTGCCCTCCCTGCTGTATTCTGGCTGGAATCTGGCACTCTCGGGTGCATCCCTGCTCGAGGCTGAGCGTGTCCTTCTCTGGAGCCTTGGGAGTGTCTCAGGCCTGAGTCCTGCCCCCGTGCGGCACCCCGGAGCTCCAGCTTGGCCCCGGCTGTGCCGCGTCCAAACCACCAGGAGAATTGTATCCACAGGCAGCTCGCGTTGGCTCAGCTGGACTTCCCGAGCCCCATCACAGGGCTGATGGTGCAGGCCTGTCTCCCCGGGTTCTCTCCCGGAGGATGGGGACCCGTCCTGGAGGAAAGGGGAGCCTTGAACCCAGAGATGGGAACCAGGCACGCGCCCTGGGGTGCTGAATGCTGGAACTTCCTGTGGTGTAATTATGTCCCCGGGAGCACTGGCGAGACGAGTCACCCTGAGCTTGGGAGCATATTTCAGACAGTGGGAGATCACGATCACGATCATCTGTTGTTCGTCGATTGCCTCGAGCAGGCCCCAGTAACGTCTGTTCGTCCTAGCCCTGAGATTTTTAAAAAGTGCCATATTCAAGGCTCTTTGAGGATTAGGAGAATGAGACCCATCATTGTTACTGGTATTTGGCATATTGGGTACGGCACGGGGAGTTTGCCAAACTCTGCGTGTGGGCAGGTTACATTCGGTAGCCTGCCAGTTTGTCCAAAGTAAAGATGAGATAATAAGATGTCGCTTCCGGGAGCTGGGTTTTATAGTCTCTGGGTCTTGGCCGTTGATGGGATTACACAGCGCTGGGGGTCAGTTGGTGGGTGTGACCCCGGCCTACTGGAAGATGGAAGATCTGGGTGGAGGATGCTCAGCCCCGATCCGAGAGCAGGCTTGGAGATCTCAGCCCCAGGACCCGCATGCCTTTGTTCCTCTGCCGGTACCTTCATGCGTGTGCAGAGTGGTCTCAGCATGGGGGTGGCTGGTTCTGGAGGTCTTCGGCTGCCGGAGCCCTGGTCGGGGCGGGGAGGAAAACTCAACCCGGCGCCCCGGTGAGGACAGCCAGGCGCGGGGCCGGGAGACAGAGGGAGGTGTTTGGGAAAATCTGTTTATAGGTTAAAATAGGTTCACTGATCTCTGGGGGTGGGGGCGGGGTCTCTATTTAAAATTGTGTCTGGAGAGCAGGTAGTTGAAATGTGCTTTGAGCGTATCTCAGAGAGATCTTCTGTTTCGAGTATCTTGGATATGAAGCGTTTCATGGTGTGTGAGCGTGTGTTGGTGAACCAGAGATGCCCCGGAGCCTTTGGCATTCTGGGGGGGGTGGCGAGGGGGCGTGTGGGGGTTGGCCCATGACTGTCAGTGGCCTTTGAGCCAAGCTGTGGTGCCTCAGGCACCATCTGCTCCCATTGACGCTTCAGTGTGTGTGTGTGTGTGTCCGTCCGTCCATTCGTCCATCTGTCCAGACCCTCTCTCTGGGCACCAGCCTCCCCCACTAGCCCTCAGAGTTGGTGTTAGCTTCTCTGCCAGCAGGTGGGACAGGCATCGCTGACGCCCCCTCCCCTTCTTCCAGGCTCTGGGGGAGCTGTGCGAGACCAAGTTTGGGAAGACTCACCCAGTGTGCAATCTGGTAAGCATGTCCCCAAGCGTCCCTGGTGTGACTGTAGTGGCTGTTCCTGGCCGGGCGAGGGGGCGGGAACCAGCCGTGCACATGTGTCTCCGAGGATCGTGCAGGCCTTCCTGGGATGAGGCTCTTCTTTGCTTGTAGTGACAGTGTTTTGGACAAGTCACAAGAGTCAGAGTCACAGGTCACACAGGGAAATCCAGGGGACTTTTTTTTTACTCAAGTCCTAGTAGCCCGTTTCAGCCCTGAAAGAATATCCTGGGGCCCAGGATGTAGCTCAGTGGCCAGTTGCCCGCGGGCTGGAAGTCATCTCGAATAAGGAGCACTGCCCGTCTCCCTTGTAAAGCGATGGGGGGGTCAGCCAGGGGCGGGGGCCGCAGTGGCGTAGCCTTGTGACAGGGGGCTGTTTCCAGCCACGGTCCCCTCTGCATCGCAGGCCACACTTGGCTTGGCCTGATCCTCCTCTCCCGCTTTCGTTTTTGTTTTCTTTCTCCGCGTAGGTCGCTTCTTTGCCGTTGTGGTTGCCTAAAGCCTTAAGCCCTGGCTCCGGGCGGGAGCTGCAGAGACTGTCTTACTTGGGGGCTTTCTTTAGTTTCTCGGTCTTTGCGGAAGATGACGTAAGTACCGGGACCGTTTGCACTTTGCCGTGCCAGCGTTTGGCTCCCTGCCCGACCCTCCGTTCCAGCTCACTGGGTTTTCTTTCCTTCCTGCAGGCTAAAGTGGTGGAAAAATATTTCTCAGGGCCAGCCATTACCCTGGAGAATACTCGCGTGGTCAGCCAGTCACTGCAGCATTACTTGGAGCTGGGACGGGTGAGTGCGCCCTCAGCGGCTTTATCCGGGCGGGTCGCAGCCAAGTGCAGGTCACTTCTGGGAAAGGGGCGCCTTTGTCGCAGCAGCTGCTGCACCAAACCTCTGACCGTGCCCCGTGTCCACTCCACCTCCTGTTCGGTTCAGCCGTCCTGCTGCCGTTGCCAGTTGCGTCTGTTCCTGTCACCCTCGGGTTCTCTCTTTCGTGACTGGAAACGTTCCAGGGTGGAGTGAGCTCAGGCGCCTGAGTGAGCTTTTCCTCGCGGTGAGCAATGAAGCGTTTCTGAAGTCCCGCTCTCCTTCTGTTTCCCCTTCTTCTGCAGCAAGAGCTCTTCAAGATCCTGCACAGCATCCTGCTGAATGGGGAGACGCGGGAGGCCGCCCTCGGCTACATGGCGGCTGTGGTCAACGCCAACATGAAGAAGGCCCAGATGCAGGTAGGGGCTGGAAACGGGCCCACGAGCTCCCGGCCGCCGGCCCTCCCCTGCAACGCACGCCAGTCGGTGGTTCCGGGGTGGTCCTCGGCTGGGACGGGCAGGGAGGGGCGTCCACTCTCCTGCTGGAAGGGAAGCTGACGCCAGGGCCAGGAACGCTGAGGAGCTGCCGTTCGGGCTCCGTGTTGCGAAGCTGGACGTTGTTTCTGGGATCCTGTGTGAGGCAGGAAGTGGGGGAGGAGTGGGCCTGAGGGACAAGCCTGCACACTGCCGGGGGTGGGGTGGGGGAGCTTGGGCAGGAGAGAGCGGGTCACGGGCTGGAGCGGGAGAACTTTCCACAAGGGCCACCAACGCCGTGGCCAGCACTGGGGTGAGCATCCGCACTGCACAGACTGTCCATGTGCTTTTGTCATTCTGGTGTGATTGAACTCAGCCTGGACCCTGTCTCAGGTGATAGGACCCGGCTGGCTACTCCCTGAGTCTCCGGGTGTCCCACAGAGTGGCCTGCTCTGCCCCGTGGGGGCAGCAGAACCTTGGCTGTGAGGGACCCTCCGTCAGGCTGTCATCTGGTGTTGGGCAATGGTATTAGGACTCCCCAGGCTGGCCATGAGGGACACCCCGAGACTTGTGCAGCTAACTTTGACGCTCTTGAGTTGGAGGGAGAAGGAAGTGACGTTGGACATTCATTGTGTTTCTGCTGGTTTAAGGGTCTCGGACATTTCAGTTCTCTGAGTTTGTCCTGCACCTTGTCAGGGCTCCGGGGCGGGGTTAGTCAGAAAGTCCTGCAGTGCCTTTTCTCACCCGGGCTCATTCCTGCCAGTGAGAAGCTGGTGTTAGTACATCCTGTACATTTTTCCCCCATTTTTTTATTTTTAAATTTTTTATTGAAGCACCTACAATGTTTTTATTGAATCAACTACAGTTACAAAACTTTCATGTTTGAGTTTCAGTCATACAATGATCGAACACCCATCCCCCCACCAGTGCACATTTTCCACCACCAATGTTCTCAGTCTTCCTCCCCTCACATCCCTCCTCTCCCCCTGCCTCTATGGCAGAGAGTTTCCCTCTTTCTCTCGACTTTGGGGCATCACGATTTGCAATACAGATAACGAGAGGCCATCGTGTTCGATCCTTTATCTACTTCCAGCACCCATCTCCCATCCCAAGCGATTTCTTCAACCGTCATTGACTTAGCGATCCCTTCTCTATCCCAGCTACCTTCTCCCCAGCCCATAAGGCATGTTTTCAAGCAGGGAGCAGTCTTCCTGGTCCTTGTCGCTACTGTCCTTGGATGTTAGTCTCATGATATTTTATATTCAACAAATGAGTGCAGTCATTCTTTATCTGTCCCGCTCTTTCTGACTCATCTCACTTAGCCTGGCACTCTCCCTGTCCATGAACTTATAAGCAGATTTCATGACTTCATCTTTCCTAACAGCTGCATAATATTCCATTGTGTAGATGTACCAAAGGTTTTTTTTTTTTTTTTCCTTTTTGGGTAACACCTGTCAATGCACAGGGGTTACTCCTGGCACTGCACTCAGGAGTTACTCCTGGCGATGCTCAGGGGGCCTTATGGGATGCTGGGAATCGAACCTGGGTCGGCTGCGTGCAAGGCAAACGCCCTCCCTGCTATGCTATCACTCCAGCCCCCCAAAGTTTCTTTAACCAGTTGTCTGTTCTCGGGCACTCAGGTTGTTTTCCAGATTCTGGCTATTGTGTACAGTGCTGCAATAAATGTACAGGTGCAGATGTCATTTCTACTGTGCTTTTTTGCATCCTCAGGATATATTCCTAGATTGGTATTGCTGGGTCAAATGGGAGCCCAATTTCTAGGTTTTTGAGAAATGCCCATCACTGTCACTGTCCTCCCATTGTTCATAGATTTGCTCGAGTGGGCCCAGTAACGTCTCCATTGTGACAATTGTTACTGTGTTTGGCATATCGAATACATCACGGGAAGCTTGCCAGCCTTTGCCATGCAGGCAAGATACTCTCAGTAGCTTGCCAGGCTCTCCGAGAGGGGCGGAGGAATCGAACTCGGGTCGGCCATGTTGGCCGCTTGCAAGGCAAACGCCCTACCGCTGTGCTATCTCTCCAGCCCAAGAAATGCCCATATTATTTTCCAAAAAGGCTGGATCAGTCGGCATTCCCACCAGCAGTGAAGGAGAGTCCCTTTCTCCCCACATCCATGCCAAAACAGGTTGCTTTTGTTCTTCTGGATGTGGGCCAGTCTCTGGTGTGAGATGATGATATCTCATTGTTGTTTTAATCGTCATCTTCCTGATGATTAGTGATGAAGAGCATTTTTTCATGTGCCTTTTGGCCATTCGAATTTCTTCTTTGAGAAAGTTTCTGTTCATTTCATTGCCCCATTTTCTGATGGGATTGGAAGTTTTCTTCTTGTTAGAGTTCAACCAGCGCCTTGTATATCCTTGATATTAGCCCCTTATCAGAAGGGTATTGGGTGAATATCCTTTCCCATTCCGTAGGCTGTCTTTGTATCCTTGGTCACTGTTTCTTTTGAAGTGCAGAAGCTTCTTGGTTTAGGATAGTCCCATTTGTGTATCTTTGTTTCCACTTCCTTGGTCTTTCATCTTTGTGGTATTTCATCTTTGAAGATACCTTTTAGCTTCAGATAGTGGAGGTTTTGCCCACCTTTTCTTCAGTGTACCTTATGGATTCTGGTCTGATGTTGAGGTCTTTAAATTCATTTTGATCTGACTTTTGTGCATGGTATTAGGTAGAGGTCTGAGCCCATTATTTTGCATGTAGCTGTCTAGTTTTTCCAGCACCATTTGATAAAGAGGCTTTCCTTGATCCACTTTATATTTCTGGCTCCCTTATCAAAGATTTGATGATCATATATTTGAGGGTGTTTGTTAGGATTGGTCTGCGGATCTGCCTTTGTTTCAAGACCATGCTGTTTCAATTATTAGTGCTTTGTAGTATAGTTTGAAGTTGGGGAAGATGATTCCTCCCATCTTTTTTCACCCAAGAATTTCTTTAGCTATTTGTGGGAGCTTGTTCCATATGAATTTCAGAAGTGTTGGAGTGTTTGATCAATTTCTTTGAAGAATGTCATGGGTATCCTTCTTTTTCTTTTTTTCCACTCTTTGGGTCACACTTGATGCTCTTGAAGGCATTCCAAGCCGTTCTCTTCCTCCTGCGCAGCTCGGGTGCCAGGTCATTTGTCCTGTTGACTTCTCGACCTAGGTACATATAGCTGTTGCATTCAGAGATGGTTGTTCCGTTGAGAGCAAATGGAGCGTCAGGGATGAGGCTGTTTCTCATAAACATTGTCTTTGTAAGATTCAGCTGTAGTCTGACCTTTCCACACTCACGGTCGAAGTCGGTCAGCATTTGTGCTGCTTGGCGAAGAAATAGCTAAGAGGACGAAGAACCTCTGGCTCCGGGCACATCTCTTTGATTCCACTGTTCTTCCTGCGTTAACATATGCCTCAGACACCTGGGCCCTACGCAAACAGGATGAGAACGCTATTCGGGTCTCCCAAAGAGGAATTGAAAGAGCTCTGCTTGGAATATCACGTTTCACTCAAAAGAGAGAAAGAATCCGGAGTTCCGACCTCCGTCGAGGATCAAGAATCAGGGACACTGTCTCGTTTGCCAAGGCGTCAAAAATCAGATGGGCTGGTCACGTAATGAGAGTTAGAGACGACCGCTGGACTAGAGCTGTTACCAACTGGATTCCACGGGATGTCAAAAGGCCACGTGGTTGCCCACCTACCAGATGGTCAGACTTCTTCATCAAGATCATGAACGATTGGTTTGAGGCTCTTTTGTGTTCCTAGAACGAACAGATGCCACTGGGCTACACTAGCACGCGACAGGGACAAATGGAGACGTTACTGGCATCTGCTCGAGCAAATCGACGAGTAACGGGAAGTCAAGTGATCAAGTGGGTCACACTCGGCAATGCATAGGGTTTACTCCTGGCTCTGCACTCAGGAATTACTCCTGATGGTGCCTGGGAACCATATGGGATGCTGGGAATCAGACCTGGGTTGGCTGCGTGCAAGGCAAACGCCCTACCCACTGTGCTATTGTTCCAGCCCCAAGAGTATCCTTATAGGATACATTGAATCTGTATAATACTTCGGATGTATTGCCACTTTGATAATGTTAATTCTCTCAATCCATGAGCAGGGGATGTGTTTCCATTTCCTCACGTCCTCTTCTATTTCTTAAAGTAGAATTTTGTAGTTTTGTATAGGCCTGTTTACCTTTTTAGTTAAGCTGATTCTGAAGTACTTGATTTTCTGGGGCATGGTTGTGAATGGGGATTTTTTTTTTCATATCACTTTCTTCTCACTCATTGCATATAGGAAAGCCATGGACTTTTGGTACTGATTTATAGCCTACCACTTTACTGTACAAGTCTGTAATTTCTATTAGCTTCTTGGTAGAGGCTTTTGGGTTCTCTTAGTATCATGTCATCTGCAAATAGTGAGAACTTGATTTCTTTCTTTCCTCTCTGGATGCCCTTAATATCTTTTTTTGCCTAACTGCTCTGGTAAGTACGGCCAGTATTATATTGGATAGAAGTGGTGAGAGTGGGCATCCTTGTCGTGTCCCTGATCTTAGAGGTAAGGCTTTTAGTTTCTCCCCATTGAGAATAATGCTTGCCACGGGCTTGTGGTAGATGGCTTTGACTATATTGAGGAAAGTTCCTTCGGTTCCCATTTTGATGAGAGTTTTCATCATAAACTTGTCAAATGGTTTCTCTTTGTGGATATGATCATGCGATTTTTATCTTTTATTGATATGGTGGGTTGTGTTGATTGACTTGCGAATGTTAAACCACCCTCATATCCCTGGGATGAATCCTAGTTGGTCATGGTGTAGGATCTTTTTGACGAGTCGTTGGATTCTATTTGCCAAGACTTTGTTGAGGATCTTTGCATCCGTGTTCATCAGGGATGTTGGCCTGTAATTTTCTTTTCTGTGGTGTCTCTGAGTATAGCCCGTCCTAGAAGGTGCCCTCACCTTGCTTATAAAGTTGGGGTCCGATCTCTGCCCAGCCCCTCACCCTGAAGCCGCCTCTCCCCTCTCCGCAGGCCGACGACCGGCTCGTGTCCACGGACGGCTTCATGCTCAACTTCCTCTGGGCGCTGCAGCAGTTGAGTACCAAGATCAAGCTGGAGACTGTGGACCCCACGTACATATTCCACCCGCGGTGTCGGATCGTTCTCCCCAGTGACGAGACGCGGGTGAATGCCACGATGGAGGATGTGACCGAGTGGCTGGCCGAGCTCTGTGAGTGCTGGCTGGGGGCCGTGTGAGAGGGCCGCTTTCCTGTGCTGGGAAATGGGCCTTCTCTTGTGGTGGGGGCCGCTCCTGGCGATGCTTGGGCCTCCCTGGTTCCGGGTGGGCTTGGGAACCATTTGGGACACAGGGGATCGAACCCAGTTGGCTGCTTGCAAGCCAGGCACCCACCGTCCCTGCTGTCCCAGGGCTCTGGCCCCTTAAATCTCTCACCGGGATGCTGGTGCTCCCTCATTGCCTGCTGCCATGCAGAAGGGGACTTGGTAAGCCAGAGGTAGATGACACAATCAGATACCACAGGAAGTGACTGAGGTTAGCCCAAATCAAACAGATGTAGTGCAAATGGGATGAAATAACCTCTTCTGAGTAGAAGTACAGGTGTGTGGGATACATACTCAGACACCTGCTAAAGCGGGTTGCCATGCTCTAGTTTGATTATGCAGATTCTATAAATGCCGATTAAAATTCTCACAAGCTATTCAATAGCTCTTGATGAATTATAAGCATGAAAGCATCATTTTACGTACATTTTTAATTTGGGGCGGAGGTGGCCACACCTGGCAGTGGTCAGGGGCTGTTCCTCGACTGTGTTCAGAGTGACCCCTGGCGGAAGTCAGCTCACCAGGGCTGTGGCCTGGCTGCCGTGTCAAGGCAAATTCCTTCTTTAACTATCTCTCCAGCCCCCAAATAGGAATATTGTATTTATTTTTTTACTATTTGCTTTTTGGGTCACACCCAGCGAGGCTCAGGGGTTACTCCTCGCTCTGCATTCGAAAATTACTCCTAGCGGTGCTTGGGGGACCATGTGGGTTGCCGTGGGTTGAACCAGGGTCAGGACGCTTACAAGGCAAATGCCCTCCCCGCTGCCCTCCCCGCCCTCCAGCCTCAAATAGGATTATTTCAGAGGTGTTAGAAATGTTCATCTTTTCTTCTATCCTACAGCCCGTATTATTTAGCGACATTCCTAAGATATGATGTAATTACCCCCAGCATTAGATAACGGTGCCAGAGACGCAGCAGAGGCTGCCGTGTGCAGTAGCAGAGCTGTTGGAAATGTGCAAGGCCCAAGCAAAACCCGGAAGCGAAATCTGGAAGCTGTAGGTCCCGTCACCTAAGCATGTTCGCAGCGTATGTCCTAGCAGATACGTGTTTTTATGGGGAACCGCACATGTGGGAATTAGATACACATGGGATGATCCGCGTTATCATTATTAAACTACAAATTATTTGCTGACGTTTACGAAGACAGGGATGACAGAATTGAATGATTCTGCCGATATGCAGCCCTGATGATGCTGTCACTCTTCGGGCAGGAGCGATGGCACAGCGGGGAGGGTGTTTGCCTTGTACCTGGCTGACCTGGGTTTGATCCCTGGCATCCCACATGGTTCCTTGAACCGCCCAGGAGTGATTTCTGAGTGCAGAGCCAAGAGTACCACTAAGTACCACTGCGGGTGCCCCAAAACAAAAACTAGTGTTACCATTCTCAATAGGTGCACTCTGTAAAATGGGCTTCCAAAGTTGAAAGGTGAAGGGGTGTTTTGTTTTGTATAAAGATCCTCCCAGTACTGGCTGGAATGGTGGGAAAGTAGCAAACACGGTGGCGTCTGGGAGGGAAACGACTAGGGGAGTTTCTCACCATAACCCGATGCCTCTCGACACTGGAAACGCCATGGTCTGTGTGAATGTGAAAACGACGTGTGAAACACATACATCGGGAGGGTTGACTCAGGCCCGGCCAGCCCGGCCACGAGCGTGCGGCACTCAGGCCAGCGTTTCTCATGCGGAGCTCGCGGCAGTCCCTCACGACGTGTCTTCAGTCTAGGAGCAGGGACAGATGCGCGTCCTTGAGCTTCTGGCATGGCCAGGGGGAGTTTGCGCTTCTGAACTCGGTGCCCTCTGCTCTGCTTCGGTCCCTGGACTGTGTGACGGGGGTTGTCTTCCTAGATGGAGACCAGCCTCCGTTTTCTGAGCCGAAGTTCCCCACGGAGTGCTTCTTCCTCACCCTGCACGCCCACCACCTCTCCGTCCTGCCCAGCTGCCGCCGCTACATCCGCAGGCTCCGGGCCATCCGCGAGCTCAACAGGTGCGTGCCCGGCCACCAGCTCGGGGACTCGGGTGGCTGCTGACAGCCGTCTCGGGGACTCGGCGGAGGGGAGGGGGGCCTCTCACACCACTGGCTTGGTGACTTGGGGGGGGCCTCTCACCCTCTCACACCTCTGGCTCTGGGACTCGGGGTGGCCTCTGACACAGCCGGCTCCGTGACTTGGGGGGGGAGTGCTCTCACACGGCTGGCTTGGGGGCTCAGGGTGGCCTCTGACAGCCGGCTCGGAGACTCGGGGACCTCTCACATAGCCAGCCTGCTTCTCTGAGGGGGTTCAAGCCCCGTCAGCAGTCCCCGGGTCCACTCTCTGCTTTGTTCAGGAGAGTCCTGGCATCACTGGGGGCCGTGCAGTATTGGAGGGCATCGAACCCGGGGCCCTGTGTGCAGTGCACAAACTTGCCGGCCAGTGTTCTGGGCCCCAGAGGAGGCATGTGCTTTTGTTCTTTCCAGGGGGTGTTCCGCACTCCCCTCCCCCCCCCCCCGCCTTCCTTCCTTCCTGCTGACCCTCCTCTGCTCTGCTCTTGTCTGCTCTTGCCTCTGCCACGTTGGCCCGTGATGGAAGGGCGTCCCCAGGGCCTCAGCTTTCCCAGCCGACTGGCACCATCGCATTGTTCTTTCTCCCTCTCCCTCGCTCTCTCCCCCCCTCTCTCTCTCCTTCTCCCTCTCTCTCCCTCTTTACCCCCCTCTCCTCTCTGTCTCTTTTTCTTTTTTTTTTTGTAGGAGTACTGCTATTTATTCAGCCACTGATTAGCTGATTGAATTGGGTATGAACTCCACCTTACCTTTTTTTTTCCTTTTTTTATAATTTTATTTATTGAATCAGGGCTGGAGCGATAGCACAGCGGGTAGGGCGTTCGCCTTACAAGCGGCCAACATGGCTGACCCGAGTTCGATTCCTCCGCCCCTCTCGGAGAGCCCGGCAAGCTACCGAGAGTATTCGATATGCCAGACACAGTAACAACAAAGTCTCCAATGGAGACGTTACTGGGCCCGCTCGAGCAAATCGATGATCAACGGGAGGGCCTTTACTTTACTTTTATTTATTGAATCACCATGAGAGCAGTTACAAAGCTTTCAGGTTTAAGTCTCGGTCATACAATGAAACACCTGCCCCTTCACCAGTGCCCATAATCCACCACCAAAATTCCCAGTATACCCCCATTCCACACCCTCCCCCTACCTATGGGGCAGATGATTTCCACATTACTCTCTCTCTACTTTGATCACATTCAGTATTTTGACACCAGACCCATATTATTATTTGGGATTTTACCCCAACACTCAGATCTGCTGAAAAGGCAGCAGTAGACAATTTGTGTTCTATTGCTGGTTATGAATAACATATGATGTCACGTGGCTGCAGTATAGCCGTGCGATCTTGAAATTCCAAAATTTTAACACTTAAATCTGGAGGGATTTCTGCCAAAACCTGCTGGGTTCCGAGATTCGTTCCTGAGTTTCTTGGATCATAGCCATTAAGCCGCTTGATCAGGAGCCAGAAAGGCTGTTAGTGGGCGGCGACTCGGAGTCTTTTTGGGACAAGGAGGAAAGGGCCGGCTCCACCCGCATCCCATGAGGCCCCGCGTGTCTCGTCACTGTGGGCCCAAACCTGTCTGGCCAGTGGCCTCTGGCGGATGGCGGCCACCGAGCTGCCAAGGGGGAGTAGGCACCCTTTTCCCCCTGGGGTGGCCCGGCGACAATAACCTACCGTGCAGTCCGGACACAAATTTCTTCCAAAAGCCGCTGGGTTTCGAGATTTCTTTCTGAGTCTCTGGGATCATGACCGGTAAGCAACTTGATGAGGAACCAGAGAGGCCATGCCTCCAATTACAACGCTGAGCCGGAGGTGGTTTGTGGGTGTGTCTCCCACATACCTAACTTTTGGCCGTTTACGTTCTTGGTAAACTTTGCCCCAAGTTTTTGGGGTCTGGCCAAAGGCACAGCAGCAATTTTGGGGTATCTGGAAGTCTGAAGGTGCCATCGGGCTACTGATGCACTTGCCTCACAGGTACAGATTGACCTGCTGGCGGCACCATACCCCCCTCTCTCTGTCTCTTGCTCTCTCTCCCTCTTTCCTCTCTCTCCTCTCTCTGTCTGTCTCTCTCTGTGTCTCTCAGCCCCTCTTCCTCTTGCTCCCTGTGCTGGGGACCCTGTGTAGTGCCAGGCCCTCTCCCCCTGAACTGTCTCTCTGGCTGTGTTCTTCAGTGTCAGGCTCTTTCCCTTAGCATAAACACCTCAGTTACCTGTGTCGGGAGAGGTGGGTTTTCACCATTTTTGCCAGGAGGGGCTGGTTTGAGGTGCTCAGGGCTGACTCCTGACTCTGATCAGGGATCACTGCTGGCAGGGCTCCAGGGACCATACGGGGTGCAGGGACGGAACCTGGGTTAGCTGCGGCAAGGCCAGCGCCCGCCCCGGCCCTGTTGCTCGGCCTGGTCTCCGGCGTGTCTGGTAGCTGGGTGGTCCTGCGCTCAGGGTTCCAGACCAAACCCTCTCTTCTTTCCACAGCCCCTCTGCCTGGGACATTCTTACCTGGCTCCTGGCCTGCACAGTAGGCCGAAAGATCAAAGTAATCACAGAATGTATTTTGAAACAAGGGTGTTGTGACACCCACACTTGGCTGTGTGATTCCGTATGGGGCCACCACCCAGCATGTGTGGTTTATGCTTTGGGGGTCACACCCAAGGGTCCCGGGATCGCCTGTGTGTGAAGCATGCACGTGGGCCCAGGTGCTGTCTCCCCAGCGTGGGTTTTTATTCTTCACAGGGCTGAGGTCTACTAGGTGAGGGCCTCTCCCCACCCCACCCCCACCCCATCGTGGTGGAGTGGCGTCAGTCTTAAACTCAGCCTTTACGTCATTGCTGCTGTATCATTTGATGTTCAGCGTAATAATCTTAAATTCATCAGAGAGAGTGACCAGTGACCTGTGGCTGTGTGCAGAGAAAGGAGACGCTGCTTGCCTTGGGGGCCCGAGGGGTCAGTGGACATTTGGTGGGAGATGGCTTTTTCCTCCTGCCCAGATGAAGGAGGGGGGGAGCAGAGCGTTTCCTCTGAAGAGACGATGGTAGTTCATCCAAAGCCCCGACCTTGGGAACTGCCTCATTTTAGAGATCAGGACCATTTTCCTGGGCGCCATCAGCGTGATGGGATACTCTGGTTTCAGCGATACTGCAGCGGGCCTGCGGGGGCGGGGGCTGAGGGGGGACGGGGTCACTGCAGGCAGGCGCGGGGATGGATCCCGGAGCTCCTCTCTGATTGGCCTCTGCTTGCAGGACTGTGGAGGACCTGAAGAACAATGAGAGCCAGTGGAAGGACTCCCCGCTGGCCACGAGGCACCGCGAGATGCTGAAACGCTGCAAAACTCAGCTCAAGGTTCGTCCCTCAGTGAGCTAGTGAGGGGGGCGGCCCCTCCCTGCCCTACCCCCCGCTCCCCCTCCTGCTCCCCCTCCCACAAATTGAGGCAGCCCTTGTAGAACCCCCTGTGGCCCCGTGCTCAGGCCAGGCTAAAGGTTCTGTGTTTGGGGTCAGGCCCCAGCCTCTTGTCCATGGCATGTGGCCGTGGGTTTGTAGCGGTGGACAGCACTTTTCCCCTGGCCCCTTACTCCTCGTGTTTCCTGGGGATGCCCCATCCACAGAGCCCAGCTGAGACATGCCAGGTCGCCCTCTGCGGGGGCTGCTGCTTGGCTCTGCGGGGGCCGAGGTGGCCGGTCATGCTGCTGTCCCGAGGACGCCCGCAGGGACCCTCTGGGCTCGTGCTGCCACTGAGCTTCATCTCAACAGGCCGAATGGCTCTGCGGTGCTGAAGAATCATCTTTTTTTTTTTTTTTGTCTTTTTTATTCCTTTATCTCAATATTTTTTCTTAAATTTTATTTTTATTTACTTTTTGATTTTTATTAATTTTTTTTTTTAGACATTGAATACATTTTTGATCAAAGAACTGTGATTTACAAAGTTATTGGTAGTTGAGTTTTGGGCGTATAGTATCTCAACTAATCCCACCACCTCCACTGTTATTCCTGACTAAAGGAACCGTCTTCCCTGAGAATTTTAGCCCCCAAGCATGCCAGGTTTTTCTCGACTGTGCAGACTTGTATGACGGTGTGAGTTGGAGAGAGGGACCGGGACCCCGTGACGGCGGGTAGGCCCTGGGGGAAAGGCGTGTTTGCCCCTAAAGCTCTTGCTGGCCGCAGGAGACCCATGGCTGGTTTCCTGGCTGTGTCCCTCTGCCATCCCCATACCCAAGGGCCCCCCGACCAACAGCCCCAGCCCAAGGTGACAGTGACGTGAGGCACACCCGGGCAACCCAGCCTTTCCCCACTCACGCCTCCCCTTGCCTGAGAGGTTTGTGCGTGACCCGCGGTGTGTGGGTTGATGAAACAGATGTTCCAGTCAGATGCTCGTTGCTGCTGAATCCGAGAGGAACTCTGTCTTTTCATCGTTTTCTTTTTCCGTATTTATATAATGTTTATTGATAAATTCTGCTTCTGGCCTCAGAACTAACGTCAAGTTTCCAAAATACACGAAGAATCACAATCAGTGTGAATTGCTCAAAAATCCAAATCAGTTTTCCTTGAGTTTCAACAGAGACCTGATTTTCAAAAGCAAAATCTTTGACGTGCTACTCTTGATTATGAAGTGCTTTGCTGGGCTGTTTGGAAAACGGAACTTAGGCCCTCTGTTCCTTTCTTTTCGTTTTATCAAAGCCCCGTGACGTACAAAGCCATTTATAGCTGAGTTTTAGACAGATGGGATTCCAGGCCTGCCCCATTGCCGGTGGCACCCTGCCCCCTTCGGCCTGCCTCCTGGCAGGCACCTCTCTGAGTCGGTCGTTGCACTCTGGGTCTCTTGAGTTCAGCGCTGGCGACTCGGGTTTGGATGCCTGGCTCTCTCTGTCTGTAACATCACCTTTTTAAGCTTATTTTAGGCACCGTGGTCTGCTGTGCTGCTAATGGTAGAGGGTCTCGTGCATGACACAGGCCACTGCCCCCTCCCCCACATGGCACCCCAGGGTCTGTGTGCCTGTCCCCCACCCCCAACCTTCCTACTGAAAACCAGCTCTGTTTCTTTTTGTTTGTTTGTTTGTTTGTTTGGGGGCCTCTCCTGGCGATGCTCAGGGCGTCCTCCCGGCTCTGCGCTCAGGAATCACTCGGGGGAACCAGATGGGGTGCCGGGCTTCGAACCAGGGTCAGCCGCATGCAAGGCAAATACTCTGCCTGCTGTACTATCACTCCGAGCAGTTGTTTCTGTTACCTTCGGGCATTTGCTGTTCCCCTCTACTCGGGGGACATTTATAGCCCCCTGGGGGCCGGAGCGATAGCACAGCGGGGAAGGTGTTTGCCTTGCACGCAGCCGACCCGGGTTCGATCCCTGGTATCCCATATGGTCTCCCAAGCACTGCCAGGAGTAATTCCTGAGTGCAGAGCCAGGAGTAACCCCTGAGCTCTGCTGGGTGTGACCCAAAAAGCAAAAAAAAAAAAAAAGAAACCCACTTACAGCCCCCCGTGTGAGAGGAAGCTCATTCTGCGTCCGCCCCTCTCCATGCCCAGCTTCACTCCTGCCACTCTCCAGACCCCTCACAGCTGCCAGTGCGTGGTTCCGTCTTTCCTTATGGCTCGGTGGTTTCCCACTGTGTAGACGTTGCAGAGTCCCTAAACCCGCCCTCCCCACCCCACCCCCCCGGCTTTGGCACTCTCGGGCTGTCTCAGGTGCGGGCTGCAGCGAGCAGAGGGCCCGCAAGACGTGCCTTCCAGAGACTGATATTCACCAGTTTCATCAAGCAGCATCGAGGGCTGGTCCCCGAGGGGCTCCCTCAGAGGGTTGCAGCCAGCCTCGGGCCTGGTGCCCTCGTGTGCCCGGTGGGCTAATCCCCGGCACCTCCCTGCTCCCACAGAAACTGGTACGATGCAAGGCCTGTGCGGACGCGGGGCTGCTCGACGAGAGCTTCCTGCGCCGGTGCCTCAACTTCTACGGCCTCCTCATCCAGCTGCTGCTGCGCGTCCTGGACCCCGCCTACCCCGAGTGAGTGCCCGCCGCCACTCTCCAGCTCCAAGGGGGAGACCTGTTGGCTTGGGGGTGGGCAGCGTACCGGGGGCTGGCCGGGTCCCAGTGTGCAGAACGTGCCATTAATCACAGTGCTGAGTCCTTGCTTGGGGGTTAGGGCTGGGGCTGGAGCCATCGCACAGCGGGGAGGGCGTTTGCCTTGCACATGGCTGACCTGGGTTTGATTCCCAGCATCCCATATGGTCCCCCGAGCACCACCAAGAGGAATTGCTGAGTGCAGAGCCAGGGGTAACCCCTGATTGCCGGGTGTGACCCAAAAAATGCTAAAGAAAAGAAAAAAAAATAGAGCTGATAGGCCGCAGAGGCGGGACTGGCCCAAGGCACGCCCTCGCCTCCCGCTGGGCCCCACAGCAACAGTTTAATCCTGGCACCACTTCTGGTGCCTGGAACGCCATCCGTTGTGCCTGCTTGCCAGAACAACAGGTGTTCGCCATATGTGCAGCCGACTCTGGTTCGATCCCCAGCATGGACTGAACCCTGAGCACAGAGCCACAAGAAAGCCCTGAGCACCGCCAGGGGTGGCCCAAACCTCTCCCCCCCCCAAAAAAAAAATTAGCTTTTTAACTAAATATACATACACATATTGATATTAGATGAAATAAAGTTTAAAAAGAGCTAGGGGCTAGAGAGCTCGCTTAGCTGGCCCGGCTTGGATTCCCCCAAGCTCTGGCTGCTGTGACCCAAAGTCACTTAATAAAGGAAAGAACGACAGGCCCTCTGCTTGGAAAGAGCTTGCATGTGTCAGAAGGGAAATGCCGAGAGGGCGCTTGGCCCTCAAGTGGCAGGGCTCGAGCTGGCCGTGCTGTGGGCCTCTCTGCAGCCGGGCTGGCCGGGTCCTCAGGCAGCCACTTCTATTGCTTGCCATGAGATCTCCGGGTCACCAGAGTTGCTGAGGTTGACAGAAACCTGCACGAGAGGGACCAAATGTTACACGACCAAATCGGACCCCTGAACTTCCCCTTCCCACTTCGTTTGTTCCAGTGACCTGAGCAGGCAATCAGGATAAGGGAAACCGGGGTCTGGAGAGATGAGACAGCGTGGAAGGCATTTGCCTGACACACGGCCAACCCCGCCTCCATCCCGGCAGTTGGGTTGGCGGCCGGGGGGCCACGCTGTCGGTGACTCTACTTCTCTTTCCCACAGTGTGACACTGCCTCTGAACCCAGACGTCCCCAAGGTGTTTGCAGCATTGCCCGAGTTTTATGTAGAAGATGTTGCTGAATTTTTATTTTTTATTGTACAGTAAGTACCTTTAGCATGTTACACGCTTCTGCCTTACGGCGTTTGGTCAGTATTACCAGTGATGTCCGGGCCTGAGGCTTTAGATATTGGCGGGTCAGGGGGAGGCGAGTTCCTGGGAAATCTGGGCAGTGGAGGTGTCAGACCAAGCCCAGCCAACCGCCCTGAGGCAGAAGCAAGGCTGGCGGTGCTGATAATGACAATGACGTGTCCTGGGAAAATGGATTGGAGTCTGCTTCTGATGAACAAAAGGAAGATTATGAATGTCTGAGTGAACTTTGGAAAGCCAATGGAAAGAGAAATACCCACATGCACAGCTGTTTTTTTTTTCCCACCAGAATCTTTCTCACGTCAGCCAGAAGGTGCAGGGGTCAAAGCACTTGCCTTGCACACAGCCCAATCAGGTTCCATCCCCAGCACCCCAAAACCCCGCCAGGCGTGATCCCTGAGCAGAACCAGGACAAAGCCCCGAGCACTGCCAGGTGTGGCCGAGAAAAGAAGAAAATGTCACCCCCCGATAAACCCAGCTCACATTCTCCGGGAATGGAAGAACACTTTCGGGGACCGAGTGAAGTTATTAAAATGACGTTTGAGAGTTTAAAAATGCGAACAGTGTGCCCGGGGGATAGCTCAGCCCTGGCCTTGCTGGCACCCAAGCTGGCTTTCAGTTCCCAGCACCACGTAGGGTCCCCCAAGCCCGCACCACCAGGCGTGGCCCCCAAACCAGAAATTGACAACAGGGGTTGGTGTCCGGCACCTTAGGGCTCTGTGGTAGGGCAGCTGCTGGGTGCGAACCCTCCGGGCCTGCCCGCCGGCCTCTGGCGCTCCCTCGCCCGGCTCCCGTCCTCCCCCGGCTCACCCCCGCACCTCACCCCTGCTCCCGTGGCCTCCGCAGGTACTCCCCCCAGGTGCTCTACGAGCCCTGCACTCAGGACATCGTCATGTTCCTCGTGGTCATGCTGTGCAACCAGAACTACATCCGCAACCCGTACCTGGTGGCCAAGCTGGTCGAGGTCATGTTCATGAGCAACCCGGCCGTGCAGCCGCGGACCCAGAAGTTCTTCGAGATGATCGAGAACCATCCTCTGTCCACCAAGCTGCTGGTCCCGTCCCTCATGAAGTTCTACACAGGTACGGCTCCTGGGGGCGGCCCAGCGGGGACTGCGGGTGCCCCCCCACTGCCTCTACTTATGCCCCGCGCCCAGGGCTTCCGGGGTCGCCCCGACGTCTGGTGGCTGGCTGCCACTGAGCCGGTCCGGAGCCTCCGCCCAAGTTGAGGGTCTGTGCTGCGGTCGCCCAGCTCCTGCGGGCGTGGAATCTTCATTCCCCAGCGCTGCCCTGTGACCCGCTCTCAGCCAGTGAAGGGAACAGGCAGTTTGTTCCGGTGGTTCTTGGGAGCCGGAGAGACAGTGTGGAGAGCAAGACGCTTTGTGTCTCCAGCTCCATCTCCAGCGTGGCGCAGGGTCCCCAGCGCAGCACCAGGGGGACCCCTGAGCTCAGCCTGGAGGCGAGGCCAGAGCAGGGCTGGGTGGGCTCCCCCGCCCCCCTCAAAAAAAAACAGGCTGAACCGCGGGCTCCACACCCTCCCCATGGTCTTCAGTCCGCAGCATCCTGTGTGGTCCCCTGAGCCCGTCAGCACTGCTCCGAGCGCAGAGCCAGGAGTCACCCCTGAGTACTGCTGGGCGTGGCCCCAAACAAAGACCAAACCTCAGGTCCATCCTGGCTGCTGTCCGTCTTCAGTTCCCTCCGACTCTCCCTGCCGCCCCCTCAGCGCTGTGCCTGCCCTTCAGCCTCCAAACTCCCCCGGTCTGTGGACGCCGCTCGCCCCCGGCCTGGCCATCTGCCCACACAGGACACCTGTCCCCTGTGCTCTGTGGTCAGCTTCCGTCCTGCAGGTGCTAGGCCTAGACTGATTGCCCCCACCTGGGTGCCCTGGAAGTAGTGCGGATGCCCCCACCTGCGTCCCCCCTCACCCCCACTTTGTGTATTTATTTTGGAGACGGGGGCCTGTGGGCTGCCTGTGAGCCGCGTGCCCGGCCCACGGGGTCACTTTATCCAGAATGCCTGGTGCCCAGGTGGCTGTGAAGGGCCCGGCCAGGGGGCAGTTGGGCGGGTGGAGCCTGTGTTCCATGCGAGCCCAGCCAGCGGCCACCAGGGCGAACCTGCCGGGGCCGTGGGCCCGAGTCCAGGCCACTCGGGACTTCAGGGTCTTCATCGTCGTTCCCCTCGTCCATTGGTGACCAGGACCCGGTCAGTCAGTCAGCATCGGGAGGCTGAGAGCGAATGGGAACGTGAGGGTGGCCCAGGCTGGAGGGGCAGGGAGCAGGGCGGAAGGGGCCTTCGGATGGGGGGTGGGGTGACGCTGACTGAGGGGCAGGGGGGCCCAGGGGCCCAGTGGGGGTGCTGCTGACGGTGATGCGAGGCCCGGCTAAATGGGAGCCTGAGCCGGCTCAGCCTCTGCTCTGCTGCGTCGCCCTCTGCTGGGGAAGCGCGGGGTGAGCCTCTGGAGTGGCTCTTAATTCCCTCCCACTGGCCTGGAACAGTGACGTGAGTGCCCGGGATTAGCAGAGCCGGTCACGGTGCCTTCCCAGGGATGAGCCACGGGATATTCAGTGAGAATCGAGAATCTCCAGGAGCTGAACGTAGTTCTGTGTTAAGTTCCTCCCGACTTGGGGAGTTCCTTTTCTTTTCTCCTTTCCGTAAACTTTTTCTACTTTCAAAAATAAAAAGAATGATCAGGACCACCTAGATTTACATTGGGAAATGTCAGAACCACCTTGATTTCAGCCGTTTGTTGTGCCATTACGTAAATGATAAAATGTCAAGGAGCCTGGCTCTGGTCAGCAGGGGACGCTGTCGGCTGGACCAAGCAGGGCGGGTGGGTGGCGGGATTCACGTAGGTCTGTGGGACACCCTCGAGGGCGTTTGTCGTTGGCTTTGGGTTTGACTTTGTTGTTGTGTTTTGTTTTTGGGTCACACTTGGCAATACTCAGAGGTTACTCCTGGCTCTGCACTCAGGAATCACTCCTGGCAGGGTGCTCAGGGGACCACGTGGGCTGCCAGGGATCCAACCCAAGGCAAAGGCCTTCCCTGCTATACTGGCTCCGGCCCCTCGGGGTTCCATGTTTTTACAGTGCCAGTGTCTGTGCCACTGAGCCCTGGCTGCACCCAGGCAGGCTGGTGACCTTTCAGTGCCTGGGATGAAGCCATCACCCCAGCCCTGAGAAAGGGATTTCTTTCTCTTAAAATTATCAGGGGGCTGGAGTGATAGTACGGCATGGAGGGCATTTGTCTTGCATGCGGCCAAGTTGGGTTCAATCCCCGGCATCCCATATGGTCCCCCGAGCACTGCCAGGAGTAACCCCTGAGCATCACCGGGTGTGACCTAAAAAGCCAAAAAGGAAAAAAAGAAAAGAGAAAAAATTATCAGGTGATGGGTCTGGAGCGGTAGTACAGCTTGGAGGGCAGTTGTCTTGCATGCGGCCAACTTGAGTGGGTGCTTGCCTCACCCCAACCCGGGTTCAATTTCCAGTACCCCATATGGTTCCCCAAGCCTCCAGGAGTAATTCCTGAGTGCAGAGCCAGGAGTGACCCCCGAGCACTGCCGGGTGTGACCTCCCCCAAAATGAATTATCTGCAGGCCAGAGAAATAGTACAGTGAGATCCCCGTTGACCCTCAGCCCCTTGTACAAGCCCTCCACGTTCACCCTATCAAGGGTGAACCCAGCTCACAGCTAGGAGTAAGCCCTGAGCACTGCCGGGGTGACCCCACCCCATAGGTTACCTGAGTTGTTGTCGCTGTAGCTTCAGAGTCCGATGGGTGAGCAGCGGAGGGGGTGGTGTTGGCAGCCCAGGGAGCCCCTGCAGTAAGCTGCTGGGTGGGGGTCGTTCCTCTTTTGTCTTCACGCACCCCCGGCCTCAGGCCCCCCAGTCATGGAGAGCTGACACCATCCTAATAATAGCGCCGCATCTGAACTCCCACTGATCCTTCGGCTCACAGGCACAGCTGCCCTGCGCCCTTGGCTATAAATACCGCGGTTTGCGAAGGAGGAAGCCGGAGCTTGAGAAAGGCCAGGAAGCTCACCCGAGCCCGGGCCCTGCACTGGAGCCCCCATAGACCCTCACCCTCCCACCCCCGCAGAAGAGTCTCCACCCCAGACTGGCTGACTCTCGGCCGTGACTTTGGGGCTAGGCCAGGAGTCAGCCGAGGAAGGCTTGGGCCCCAAGAGGGGGCGTCCAGGAGAGCTGAGCCATGCAGGCACGTTTCGGGGGACCAGGCCACTGATTCCCTGGAGATGGGCCATTGACCAAGGGCTTCCTGAGTGGGGCCAGGCCAGGCCAGCCCAGGACACCTGGAGCCATCCCGCAGGGCCGCCTGGAGAAAGACCCTTCCGCTGGCCTTTGCTGAGGCTGGGGACAGCGGAGCCAATGATCCTGGTCCTGGCGCCCAAGTGGTGTCCTGGGCCACTCGGAAGGTCTTGGGGTGGTGACTGGACACAACAGTGCAGTGCAGTGACCCCACAGAAGAGCAGGGACCATATGGCAGGCCTGGGAGAGACCATGAGTGTGAGACGCCCCGGGAGTCTCAGACTTGCACCCCAGGGCGGCACCTGACCCGTGGGGGTGGGGTGCCGCCACGTTCAGGGACCAGGATAAGGGTCCTGGGCCGCTGGCCACCTGTGCTGTCCCTCTGCTTGCAGCCCTCACCCAGGAGGACCCCGCTCCTCCGGGCAGGTACGCTCCCCCGGCTCTGTGCGTCCATTCTGTTGGACCGTCCATCTCGAAAGAATCTTCCCCTTATTTTATCGCAGAATGTATCCACCGAGAAGTGGGAACAGGCTGCGGGCATCTCCGCAGCGGGCTCATGTGCGCCGGCCTCCTCCCCTGGCTGATGTCCGCGTGGCGTGACAGAGCCCAGGCTGCTCTGCTCCCTGCTGACCTGTGAGGGCGCTCCCACATCATGCGACACTTTTTCCTGGGTCCTTCGAGGTCTTTGGGGGCCGTTTCCAACCAGGTCCCACCACCTGTGGCCTCCGCCTTGCCGGAAGTACCCTCCCGCCCTGTGAGCCGTGGGAACACTCGCTGTGTCCCCTCTGTCAGCTTTCCGGTGCTATTGTTAGGTCGGGGTGTGTTGTGGGTGGGGGCGCGCCCACAGTGCTGAGCGGCTGCTCAGGCCCTGCACAGGGCGCGGGGCAGGCGGCGAACGTGCTCAGTTCGACGTCATTCTTCTTACCTGCCAGCAGCACTGCTTCCAAACCTCAATCCAGTTTGGGAGTTGGTCTTAGTGCTCACACGCCTCGGCCACTTGCCCCAGAGGGCTCCGTTTAGTCTTGGTTCCGTTCTCCTCGGGGCTGGGGTGTGGAGGTTGGTGGGTGACGGAGACCTGGAGGACCCCTTGGCCATTGTTCTGCTTTGAAACATGTTCCGTGTGTCCTAGCGCGCGTGCGCTTCAAGTGACAGTCACGTGATTGGGGGGCCAGGCCTTCGTAAGGCTGAACCCCCTCTCTCGTGTTCAGGCCGCCCGCTTAGAGCCGGGTCTTTCAACCAGGGTGCCCCAGTGACTCCCAGGGGGCCACGGTACGGACCTAGGGGCCGGCTGATGACGGGGACGCGGGCAGGAGCCAGGCTGCGGGGCCAGGCGTGGGAAGCCCTGGCTTCGCGCCTCCTGGATTCCCTGTGGGTGACAGCGCTGGGGCGACCCAGTCCTTGGCTCCGGTCTGGAGGGTCGGCACCTCAGAGCACACTTCGGGCTTCTGCCCCCCAGTTTGTCTCGGTGCCGCCCAACCTTCTCTGCTGTGAAAGCCGGTTTCCAGAACCGCCTCCGGGGGCCAGGGACCAGCTCCAAGGCAGATGCTCCTGGACACCGCGTGCCGGCCCTGGCCCCGTCCGGAGCACTCAGTGTGACGCGGGGACTCGGGCCGGCCCCGCATCGGCACAGTGGCAGTGCACACACCCGAGCCCCTTGTCCCCTTGTTTTCCCCAGATGTGGAGCACACCGGGGCCACCAGCGAGTTCTACGACAAGTTCACTATCCGCTACCACATCAGCACCATCTTCAAAAGCCTGTGGCAGAACATCGCGCACCACGGCACCTTCATGGAGGAGTTCAAGTGCGTGTGGCCGTGGGCGCGTGGGGGGTGTGGGCCTGGCTGGTGCTGTCGAGACTCTGAGTGTCTGTACTTGGAAGCGCCGCTGAGTCTGAGATAGGTTGGGACGCTTTGTGGTGACCCCAGTCTCCTCCCGAGGCTGCGTTACAGAGGGTCAGGGTGACCCAGATGCTCCCGGTCAAGCTTCCGAGTTAGAAACCTCAGGGGGATGTTCGGATCCCAAGCCACTGCATGGGGGGATGGGGGGTGTTGAGGGTTGCACGTGGCCCATCCCGGTTTACTTAGCAAGGCAGGAGCCACCCCCACCCCCCCCAGCCCCCCACCCCCGTGCACTGGGTGTGTCCCCGAAGGAAAGAAAACAAAAATTAAAGATGCTTCAGAAAGGAGCGCAGAGGGTGGGAGAGGCAGTGCCGCAGGCTGAGGCCCGGCTTTCAGCCCTGATGCCACCTGTGGTATGGACCAGACAAGGGACAGGCACTGGCCCGGCGGGCAGCGCATCCCGACACACCGCCAGGGGTCACTCGAGAGCAGAGCCAGGAGCAGTCCCAGAACCCAAGACCCAGGATAGGGAAGAAAGGTGAAAGTCCTGTAATTTCCTCACCCCACCGTGTTCTCGCGTTCTGTCATGGAGCCAGGCTCCGGCCAGGTGACAGTCCCTGGTCTCCTGGCAGGGGACCCATGGGGGCCAGCCAGCTGTCTGCAGAGCGGGCCCTGCACTTTCCCTGATGGCTCTTGTGGTCTGCGTGATGCCGTTACACGAGCGGGAGGTAGCCAGGAGACCAGACTGGCCCCGGCTTGGTCTGTGCTGTGCCCGCCGGGTGTTCGGCTCCTGCTGAACATTCCCCATCTCAGATGCCCCAGACGACGCGGGGGTGCCGGAGCCCCACTCCTCAGGGGCCAGCTGGGAGGGCGCCTGCCTCGCCCAGGGCTGACATGGGTTCGATCCCTGGCACGCCGTACGATCCCCCGAGCACCACCAAGAGCGATTCCTGAGTGCAGAGCTGGGAGTAAGCCCTGGGCATCGCCAGCTATGGCCCAGAAAAGAGCAGCAGCAATAGAACCCAAGGCCAGCTGCTGGCCAGAGCAACTCCCCTCCACCCTTCCTTTGGCCGCTGATAACGCAGCCCCGTGGGGGAAGTCCAGGCGGGCAGCCCTGCTGTGTCGGGGCTCCCCCTTCTGCCCACTCTCTCCGCTGGCTTCAAACGCACCTTCTCGTGGGGGAACTATTTGAGTTTGCGCCTTGTCCGTGTGGTTGAGGCTGTCTTCTTGTCTGGAGACTGTTTCTCCCACACGGAGGGAACGTGGGCCTGAGGGAGCCGGCCACGCGAAGGCTTTGGGGCCCGAGGACCCGGGTTTGATCCCTGAGCGCTGCCGGGAGTAGCCCCCAAACACCAGATAACAGCAGGCGTGCCGCGAAAGCCCCTCTCGGGGCGGGAGAGACCGTCGACGTGTGCTGCGTTTCTGGGGTGCGGCCGGGGCAGGGTGTGTGGCGGGGGTGGCCTGGGGCAGCGCGGCTGTGTCTGTGCCCTGGCAGCTCGGGGAAGCAGTTTGTCCGCTACATCAACATGCTGATCAACGACACGACCTTCTTGCTGGACGAGAGTCTGGAGTCTCTGAAGCGGATCCACGAGGTGCAGGAGGAGATGAAGAACAAGGAGCAGTGGGAGCAGCTGCCGCGGGTGAGGGGCGTGGGGGTAGGGCCGGGGGGGTCGTGGCAGCCCAGGGCGCCAGCTTCCTGGTGCCCGTTGAGTCGGTTCCTCTCAGGCGGGGCAGGAGGAGCCGCCGCCCGAGCCCACAGTCTGTTCCCTCTTCTCCGGTGTTTTCTTGTGTCTGAGTTGAGGGCCACACCCAGCAGTGCTCCGGGGGGCACTGGCGGTGGTGCCGGGGGACAGGCTGGGCGCCTCTGTCCTGTCAAGCCTGAGCTCTGGCCTCGGGCCGTCTCCCGGCTCTGCAAACCCCCCAGGGTCCCTCTCAGGTTTCCCTTTGCTCTGTTGGTTTTTATTTGGGGGTCACGATCAGCCAAGCCCAGGGGCTGCTCCTCGGGCCTCAGAGGGCCGATCCGTGGTCCAGCGCAGATCAGGGCCTGCCCATCCTCTCTCCAGCCGTCCAGCTTGGCTCTTTTTCTTCTGTGGGTTTGTCTTGTTTCTGGTTTTGGGGTTTGGGTTTTGTTTTTGGTTTGGTTTGGGGGTCACACCTGAGGCTGCTCCCGCCTCTGTGCTCAGGGCGCACTCCTGGCGATGCCAAGAGGACCGTCTGAGGTGGGAGCGCCTTCCCCGCTGCATTCTCTCCGCTGGTTAATGGGGGGGACCCTGTCAGGCTCAGTCCTGTCAGAGGCTCCTGCCCGCCCGTGTTGGTGCCCTCTGACCTCTGACACCTCCTGCGTGCCTGGGGGCAGCTCTGGGACAGTCCCGAGGGCCCGGGACCGCACTCGTGGCTTCATGCGTCTGTTCTGTTCCTGGGGTTCTTGCGCTCAGAAGCGTTTCCGGGTTGGGGGGGGGGGCAGGGTTGCTTTGTGCTTTCCACCTGTGGGCGTCCTGTGGCCGCCCTCCCGCTCTGCGGCCAGAAGGTTCTTCCTGGCTCCCATTCGCTGTATGGGCGTGAGATTGCCCTGTGGGGTATGGGCTCAGGCCTCTGTGGAATCTGTGTCCACTCCCCCCCACACTGGGAGCTCCCCATTCCCGTTTCTCTCCGCCCCTGCTTGCTTCTTCCTCCTCACTCTCGGGCATTTGGTCAGGGGGGACGGGGGTGTTTGTCTCCTGCAGAGGATTCTAGATTTGGGGCTGGAGCAATAGTTCAGTGGTGAGGGCATTTGCTTTGCACGCGACCAACCCGGGTTCTAGCCCCAGCATCTCATATGGTCCCTGAGCACCGCCAGGAGTAATTCCTGAGTGCAGAGCCAGGAGTAACCCCTTTTTGGCTGTGACCCAAAAAGCAGAAAACAAAAACAAAAAGAACCCAGTGGGTTCCAGATTTCTCTCGGCCCTTCTCACGGCCGGCACTGGAGCCCCTGGAATCCACCTTCTCACCAGGCTGCCTCGCGTGGCTCAGTGCTCGCAGATTGCAGTCTTGGTGGCGCCAGACTGTTAGGGAGCACCCCCCCCCCGGGGGCCACAGTCTGCCTTCGAGAGACTGGTCAAATGCTTGAGTGACCCAAGGGGTCAGCCTGCATGCGGCCAGCTTGCCCGCTGACGCCTTCTGCAGCCCCAGCCCAGCCCGGCCCCCAGCGGCTGCCCCTGTCTCCCTGGCGTCCCGGCCGAGTGTGGCGTAGGTTCGAGGCAGTTCCGTCTTCACCAGTGTTGGGGGCTCACTCACCCCGCAGCCCCCCGTGCTCCGGCTTTTTGTCTTGCTTCCCACCCTATTGGAGGTGGCCTCTGGGCGTCACGGGGGTGGCAGCGTAATAGTTGGAAAGTTGCGGAAAGCCTAGCGCACCTTGTTGGCAGCAGCACCGCAGCCCGGGGAGACCCACAGCGGTTGTGAGCCAGAATGCGAGTCTGCGTCGTCATCACAGGAAGTGAGCGCCCTCGAGTCCAGCCTGTGAGGGCGGGGCACTGCAGAGGCCTTGCAGGGGAAATTGAGTCTCACGGAAGCAAAATCAGGCACCAGGGCCAGCCACCCACCTCCTGAGGCGTCAATGGAAGGAGTGGGCTCCTTTGTCTGGACAGCCCACGGGCCCTCCGGGTTCCATCCTGCCCAATCCCAGGAATGGGCTGGCCACGGCTGACCTCTGTCCCTTGCCCCCAGGACCAGCAGCAGGCCCGGCAGTCTCAGCTGGCGCAGGACGAGCGAGTGTCGCGTTCCTACCTGGCCCTGGCCACGGAGACGGTGGACATGTTCCACATCCTCACCAAGCAGGTGCAGAAGCCCTTCCTCAGGCCGGTGAGTGCTCGCCCCGGGTGCATGTGTCGGCACCAGGGACTGGTGAGGGGAAGGGCGGGTGCTCCCGGGTGGGGCTTTGTGCCCCTGATGACGGCAGCGGTGGCTGAGGCGTCAGGAGCCACAACGGCCACGGAGCCGGCGCTGGGGGTGTTGTGTCTGGCCTCCATGGGAGTCGAGGGCCCGAGTCCCTTTTCCAACACCCGAGACTTGAGTTGGCTGCAGGGATAGGACAGTAGGGAGGGCGCTTGCCTTGCACGTGGCTGACCGGGGTTCTATCCCCGGCAGCCCACATGGTCCCCCGAGCACCGCCAGGAGTGATCCCTGAGTGCAGAGCCAGGAGTGACCCCTGAGCATCGCCAGGTGTGGCCCAAAGACAGAGAAAGTTACAAATTTGAGACTGGGCAACCGGCCCTCAGTGTAGAACTTTCTTTGTTTTTGTGTTTATTTTTAGCGTTTGACTTATTTAAGTGTTTTGGGCCACCCCTGGTGATCCTAGGGCTCTCTACTCCTGGCTCTGTACACAGGGATGGTGCTTGAGGGACCCTCTGGGGTGCCGGGAATCAAACCCGGGTCAGCCGTGTGCAAGGCAAGCGCCCTCCCCTCTGTCCTGGCACTGTGAGTGTTTTATTAGCGGGAGGGGAGTGCAGGAACCTCCTCGCCCCTCGGATTCCAGACTGGGGACCCTCGACTCTACCCCGGTGCCCTCAGCTGACGGCCACCAGCTCCACCATGTCCCCAACCCCGCTGCGGATTGAGTCCCTTTCCCAGCCGCTGCCCATGGCAGCCCACAACTGGGGCTGGCTACTTGGTGTGTCCTTGGCACCTCGGTGTGGCTGTCTGGGCATGGCTACTCGGCAGGAAGTGGCCACACCCGGCTTCAATCCTCTCCAGAGTGGGCGCTAGGCCATGCCCAGGTGCCGGGGGCCCGACTCTCTGGTGCGGGGAGGCAGAAACTGCTGACTGGAGGCCGGTTTAGCACAGAGGCCGTTCGAGACCTAAATTCTTCTGTTCTGAAGGCAAAAACCGGAAGCTGAGCCTGATGTTGGTGCCACTGGGGCAATTTCTTCTTCCCGAGTTCCTCGGACTCCTGAGGCCTTTGCCATTTGCTCTGACAATGCTTGCTCTGCCCCAGACTCTCTGTTCAGGATGACCAACTACCCACACTCTCATGCTCTCGTGCTCTCTCTCTCTCTCTCTGTCTTGTCTGAGGGACTCTTGCTTGTTCTGATTATCTGCTAACATCTCCCTTTCTCGCTGGTCAGATTTAAGACCATAAGACACATAAATAAATAAATAAATAAATTTTGCTTGGCGAGGCTGCATGCAGCCGTGCTTATGACTTACTCCTGGCTTTGTGCTCAGGGATCACTCCTGGCGGAGTTTGGGGGAACCATATGCGGGACTGGGGATTGAACCCAGGTTGGCCATGTGCAAGGGATGCCCTGATGCCTGCCTGTTCACCCGTTTCTTCCCGTTCTCTTCTCCCCCACCCCTTGATTTCTTTTTCCTTCTCTCTAAACTCGGGGCCTGTCCAGGGTGAACTGGGCATTCCTCCTCTACGTCACGCTAGTCTTCCTGTCACTCTGGCCCAAGACTCTGCACATTTGACATGGTGCCGTTTGCTCTCTCTGTCCATAAATGAGTCTCTGTCCATAAATCGGCCCTCGCCGACGTGAGTGTCGGGGCCCCTGGAGGTTGCCGGAAGTGGGTGGCTGAGAGCATCTCGGGGCTTTGTGACTATGACACTGGGCTTAGGAGTCATTTTCCCCTGACCTGCTTCTCAGTGACGTTGAGCGGATCCTTTCGCCGTTGAACGAAAGCATAAGGGGAAGGGGAGGGCCCACCTAGGGCTGGCGTTCGTGGCAGCCTGTCCCTGGCACCGTTGTGCGGAGTGGTGGAACTACGGGGTTGGCAGTACTGAGCCGGCAAGCCTCAGGTCCTGCTGGGTGACTGCAGGGACTGGCCACCGCCTCACTGCCCTGTGATGTCCTGTGGCTCCCTAGGAACTCGGACCCCGACTGGCCGCGATGCTGAACTTTAACCTCCAGCAGCTCTGCGGCCCCAAGTGCCGCGACCTCAAGGTTGAGAACCCAGAGAAATACGGCTTCGAGCCCAAGAAGCTGCTAGACCAGCTGACGGACATCTACCTGCAGCTGGACTGCGCGCGCTTTGCCAAGGCCATCGCCGATGACCAGGTGAGTGCGCCTCTGGGGAGACTGGCCGTGAGCCTCGCCCGTCGTCCTGATGGCCGTCTGGAGTCCGGGAAGGGGACACCGCGGGGAGTGAGTGGGTCGTGTCCCAGAGCGGCGGGCTTTCCTGGCGTGGGGCTGAGTGTACACCCAGCGTCCCCTGGCGTGCCTGGATGTGCCTGTGAGTTTTGGTTTGTTGTGGGGCCGCCTATGCGGGTGCTCGAGGACTCGATGCCCAGTGCTCAGGGCTGTCCCCTGGCTTGATGCTCACAAGCGTAGGGGCTTGGACCTGGGCTCCTCTTGCTCCAACCCTCGGAGCTCTCTCCAGGGCCCAAGTTCTCCTGGGGCTGGAAAGTCCAGCCTTGGCCCCCAGATCTGTCTCCCGCTGATTCTCTCCCTGTCCCTCGGTGCTGGCGGTCAGCCCCGGACCCTCACACGTGGACTCGGGCTCTGTTGCCGAGCCCCTGCCCCAGCCTGAATTCTCAGTGGGAGGGGACGGGCCACGCCGGCAGTGTTTCTGTGACTGGGGGACTCTCCTGGCAGTGCTCGGCTCAGCTGTGCAGGTCTGGTGGTCAGTGCCAGGAGGACGCGTGGCTCCAGGTGGCCGCGTGGTGCTGCCCTTCAGCTCTGGCCCCACTGGTGTGCCCTGCCCTTAGCTGCTGCTTTCTCCCCCAGCTCCATTCTGTTTTTGTTTTTGCTTGTACCAGGAATCTAGCCCGGGGCCCATCTGCCTGGTTCTGCTCCTGTCCCTTCCGGTGGCCGCTCGGAGGCTCCTGCTGGCTCACATCCCTGCCAGTACTTTTTTTTTTTTTGCTTGCTCTTTGGGTCACACCCGGTGATGTGCAGGGGTTACTCCTGGCTCTGCACTCAGGCATCACTCCTGGCAGTGCTCGGGATGCTGGGAATCGAACCCGGTCGGCCGCATGCAAGGCAAACAAACGCCCTACCCGCTGTGCTATCGCTACAGCCCACCAGTACTAGTTTCTGTTCCCACCTTGGAGTTTTTATTGGGGGGAGAGGGTAGGCCCAAGCCGTGAGCTCCTCTGCAGACCCGAGGCCCCTGCAGACAGAGCCTGGCTCCTGCCCTGTGCACCTCCGCCACGGCCTTTGTTCAGTGATTTTGTTTGTTCTGTTTCATTTGTGCTTGGGGGTCAGTACTTGGGGGATTACTCCTGACTCTGTGCTCAGCGGCACGTGCCGTCCCGGGGATCGAATGGGGGCTGACTGCGTGCACGGCCAGCCCTGCCCCCCTCTGCTCTCGACTGCAGCAGGCGGAGGGGAGGCTGTGCCCCAGCTCCACACGGCCCCTGAGCACTACCGGTACCAGCAGCCCAGGAACAGAGCCAGGAGCAGCTCCGGGCATCGCTGGGTGGAGAAAGCGAAGCAGGACAGCCAAGGGCCTCGCGGGTCTGAGGACCTCACCATCCACTCGCTCCGGCCCTTCTCTGCTGCTGGACCGTTCCTCCGTCTCTGATGGAGACGCATCTAATTTGGCCCATGGCTTATTAGGAAAAAGTGGGTTCTTTGGGGGCCGGGGAGACAGTATAGCGGGAGGAGCACTTGCTTTGCAAGGCAGCCAGTCCGGGTTCAATCCCTGGCACCACGTATGGTCCCCCAGACCCTGCCAGGAGTGAGCCCTGAGCACAGAGCCAGGAGTAACCTGAGCACAGAGCCGGGAGTGAGCCCTCAGCATAGAGCCAGGAGTGAACCTTGAGTACAGAGCCGGGAGTAAGCACAGTGCCAGGAGTGAGCCCTGAGCACAAAGCTGGGAGTCAGCCCTGAGCACAGAGCTGGTAGTGACCCTGAGCACAGAGCCAGCAGTCCGCCTTGAGCACCTTCGGGTGTGGAGGCCACCCCCCAAAAAAGTGTTAGTGTTGCTGTGAAGAATTGGGTGTTCTGTGGCCACACATGCGCCTCCCAGCATGGGGTCAGTAGGTCAGCCCATGTGTCTGGTGGGTGGATCGAGGGCACGCACCGAGGGGCTCTGCTTGCGCCCTGAAGCTGACGGTGCAGGTCCAAGCATGACGAGCCTGCGGCCCAACCTTCTCCCCTCCTGTCTCGAGCACAGTCACGGCTGTCACGTGCCCAGTGCCACTTGCTGTAGACACCGAGGAGGGGGTCTGTGTGGCGTTCAGACACAGCGGCGGGTGGCACCATCCGAGCTGTCAGAGGGGTCTGTCTGTTGGTCCGGGGGGGCTTGAGGTCAGAGAGGGTGCTGCTCGGGGGACCCTGCGGTACAGGGGCTGGAACCGAGGTCACCAGCAGGCGACACAAGCACTTTCGCCCTGTGCCGTCTTGCTCCCGGTTCCCGGTCTGCGGGGGCGCGGACGTCAGGGCGGGCGGCCGCTTCCTGTGGGGGCTGCGTCTGGCCGCGCTCCTGAGATGCTCCCCATCCTTCCCCGCAGCGGTCCTACAGCAAGGAGCTGTTTGAGGAGGTCATCTCCAAGATGCGCAAGGCCGGCATCAAGTCCACCATCGCCATCGAGAAGTTCAAGCTGCTGGCCGAGAAGGTGGAGGAGATCGTGGCCCAGAACGCGCGCGCCGAGATCGACTACAGCGACGCGCCCGACGAGTTCCGAGGTGAGCGGCCGCCCCCTCCTCTCCCTGCCCTCCTCCTGGGGTCCTCCCCTCTGGGGGGGTTGGGCCAGGGCCTGTGGTACTTGGAGCTCTGCTTGGGAGTGACTGACCAGCCTCCAGCGGTGCCGCATCCCTGCGCTCTCCCGCCACCCCACCCCGCACTCCCAGCGAGGGGTTCAGGGCACAGCCCCACGCCTCACCTCGCCGTCCCCGAGCTGACGCATCGTTTCCTGAGTTGGTGGTCGGTCTGCTTCAGTGACGGGACTTCCACGCAGAGTGAGCCCGGCCGTAACCGTCACCCACACCCCAACTTAGCCACACCGCCCTGTTCTCCCAGGGCAGGTGCCCTCGGGCCTGGTTGGTTGGCCTGAGGCCACCCAAACGGGTTTCATTTTCCTTTCGGGGCAGGGGGTGTTGCATTGAGAATCTCCGCGTTTCAGTGCATTCCAGCCTCTGTGCCGTTGTTCTTTCATGGGATACTGTAGTCACTGTGTGAGACCTTTTGCGTAGCTACATTGATCTGAATTTTCATTCGTTGTGAATAGCAAAAACGCACAGTCCTGGCCCCATCCAGAGGGGTAAGCGCCAGCCTTGCCTCCCACTGACGCTGGTTCACGTCCCCGGTACCTCAAGTCCAGTCCCCGCACGGCCGGGGCTCACTCCTGAGCGCTGACAGCCCCCCACGCCCAACTCGAGCAAAAGACGGTCCTTGGCCTGGCCCCAGGGCAGAAACCGCCCGGGAGGCCCAGAGGTCACATGTCCTTCGCGTGTCCTCCACGTGTGGGACTTTGCGTTTCTAGTGCTGAGAAGTCACAGCTCTGCACTGTAGCCGCGCTCTCCACTCTCTCCTCCTGCCTCCCGGGGGACTGCCGCAGGGGACAGGCCCCTGGTGTCCTGCTAGCGTCCAGAGCACCGTTGGCTTCCTCCTCTGGACACAGGGCCCCGGCGTTCTGTCCAGTCGAGGCTCTGTTTGAGGCTTTGCCTTGTCCTGCAGACCCGCTGATGGACACCCTGATGACAGACCCCGTGCGGCTGCCCTCGGGCACCATCATGGACCGTGCCATCATCCTGCGGCATCTGCTCAACTCCCCCACGGACCCCTTCAACCGGCAGACGCTGACCGAGAGCATGCTGGAGCCCGGTAGGCGCGCGGGGCCTGCTGGGACCGGGTGGGGGTGCCCAGGCCCAAGGCATGCCGGGGCCAGGCAGGGGGCACAGGTGGGGGGGTGCAGACCCAGGTGGTCTGTGGCACCAGAACCCCAGTGCAGATGTGACTCGGGTGCCTCCGGGCCAGAGCAGGCCAGTGTGCGGCTCTGGCTTGTCACCTGGTGTCTTGGCAGTCTGCCGCCAGGGAGACCCCCGCCCCTGGGACCCCCGTGACGCGCTCGCCCCTCCTGCCCGCAGTGCCGGAGCTGAAGGAGCAGATCCACGCCTGGATGCGAGAGAAGCAGAGCAGTGACCACTAGTGACCACTAGCCCGGCCCGCGGGTGACAGCCCCCGTGGCGACCACGTCGTTCCCGCTGGAGGCCCAGTGGCCCTGCCCAGCGCCCGGCCCGCCCCCGCCACGCAGTGGGCCGCGAGGACACGCCAGGAGGAGCCGGTTCCTGTACATATATTTAATGCCAGCGCGATCAGAGCTGAGGGACACGCCCCGGGGTCGCCCCTGTAATAAAGCACGTCCTTCCCGGCGACCACGGGGCCGGCCACACGCGTCGCAGCGCCGAGGCGAGCGGGCGGGCAGCACCCCCCCTTTGTTTCTCCCCTGAATCCAGTATCCGTTGATTTGGTGGTGATTAGAGAGCCTTGGACATTTTGCTGCTAAAGAATCTTCCCCCCCAGCCCCCTCCCGGCCCTACTTGCACTGCTGTGGATTTTTTTAAAGAGAAGCAAAAACACAAATAAACTCCTCCCTCCCCCGGCCCCCCCAAACACATATTCTGTGAGATAACTGTGCCTGCAACAGCGTGTCAATCCCGGGGTCGTATTTTTATATCATATTCACGTATTTGTTTTTTTAATTGGTGTTAGATGACATGATTAATAAAAAAGGCAAGATATTTTCAGAATTTGAATTTCAGTTTTTTTTCCCCCCCTTTTGAAATGTCCCTGATCCTGGTTTTATTATTATTATTAATTTTTTTTTTTTTGGTTTTTTGTTTTTCTTTTTAATTTTAAAGGAGATGCAGAGAACCGTGTTGACGGGGCCTCGTCCTCAGCCCGGTCGGGGCGCAGGAGCAGGACAGCCAGGGGCGAGGGGCACTCAGGTGTTGTGCCATGATGGTCTGGGGGGTGGAGGGTGGTTTTTCTAATGCTCAATGACAGTGGGAGGCCTCTGAGGGTGACATGTCCCTCGGCCGGAGTCTGGGTCGGCAGGAACCGCTGCTGTGCTGAGCCCTTTGGGACCGAGCCTTACCAAAGCAAACACACGGTGCAAGCGTCCTGGGGGGAGACTCGGCTTATGCTCACACACGCGCGCGCGCACACACACACACACACACACACACACACACACGGGAAACTTTTGTATTATCGCTGCCTATGTCACATACTTGAATTTTTGGATTTCCTTTGGGGTGGAAAAAAAAATTTAAACCATAAAGTGTTCCGAAGCAATGAAGTCTTACAAAGAAACATAACTTCCTTTTCCTCTTCCTTTTCTTCACCTCTCGCAGACAATGTGCTCTGTTCAATTCCTGACCAAATTCCAATAAACGGTGGGACACCCCCGGAAGCAGCTTCTCGAGTCTTGTCTTTTTATGGAAAACAAGGGCTGGGCCCCCAAAGGTCACCAACCCCGGGTTTGCCTTAGTGAAGTGTCACTTCTGAGCCAGTTAACTGCCTTTTCATTTTCTTTTTTTTTTTAATCTTTTGGGTTTTTTTTGGGTCACCTGGTGGTCCTCAGGGCTTTGTCCTGGCTCTGCTCTCAGGAACTACTCCTGATGGTGCTCAGGGGACTATATGGGATGCCGGGGATTGAACCAAGTCGGCCACGTGCAAGACAAGCGCCCTCCCCGCTGTGCTATCACTCCGGCCTAGCTACTGTTTATAAAATAAACCTTCCAGAGCTGGAGAGAGTACTTGCCTCGCATGCAGCCTACCTGGGTTCGATCCCTGGCATCCCATAGTGTCCCCCGAGCACCACCAGGAGTAATCCCTGAGCACCGCCGGGTGTGCCCCAAAAAGCAAGATTTTAAAAATGTAAGAAAGAACTAGGGGCTGGAGTGATAGCACAGCGGGTAGGGTGTTTGCCTTGCACACAGCCGACCCGGGTTCGATTTCCAGCATCCCATATGGTCCCCCGAGCACCGCCAGGAGTAATTCCTGAGTGCAGAGCCAGGAGTGACCCCTGAGCATCGCCAGGTGTGGCCCAAAAAGAAAAAAAAAAAAAACTAAACCTTCCATGTTGGCGGCAGCCAGGGTGTCAAGCTTGGTTCTCATCTTGCTGTTGTTTGGGGGGTTGGATTTCTTCGAGTTCATCCTCTTCTGTTCTGAGGGTGTCCAGCTCTCCTGTCTTCCCGACTTGAATCCCCGCTCGGGAGCCTGTCGTGCGGCCACGGCACAGCGGAGCTTTTGCCTCGAGAAAGCCCTGGGTTTGGCCGCTGGCACTGGAGGGCAGAAGACGTCTGGTCTGTCTCCAGCTCAACGATTTCATCAACATTTCCTTTTCTGTTTTTCACTTTCTGATGTTATTTTGGTTGTGGGGACCTTACTCTCGCTCTGCACTCAGGAAACACTCCTGGCGGTGCTCAGGGGAACACAAGATGCCGGGGATTGAGCCCAGGTCTGCGGCGTGCAAGGCCAGGGTCCAACTGACCGTGCTATCACTCTGCCCCTTAAATTATTTGGGGGGGGGTTGTTTTTGGGCCACCAGACTGTGCTCAGGGCCTAATCCTGGCTTATGCTCAGGGATCACTCCTGGCTGTGCTTCCAGGGACCAACCCAGGTCTCTACTGTGCCAGGGAAGAGATTCCGGCCCCCAAATTACATTCTTCATATCTGGGGCCGGTGAAACTCTATCATGCAGCCTCAGGTGGGGGTTGGGTGGCTAGGGACTACTGACTATAACTCCACCTGACCACGCAGGTGACTCCTAAGCCTCTGGGGTCAGGGAACCGCGTGGTACCGGGCATCAAATTCAAATGGTACCTTCATATGCCAGCAGTGCACATTGAGCAACTTCCGGGAGCTGTTAAAGACGTGTTGTACACATCCCGGTCCCTCAGCAGAATGTCATGCCCCAAACTAAACCAGATGTACCATTGAAGTGCCCAGAGGGCCAGAGCCCCTGCCCGCCACTCGCTGCCCGGGGCCAGAGACTGACCCAGCATCGTGATCGACCCTGTGTGTGCTTACTGCTCGCCTCTCCCCAGCCCTTGGCCATATTTTCTATGATCCAAGTAGGCTATGGGTCATACCCAGCTGTGCTGAGGGCCCCTGACAGTGCTCGGGGAGCCAAGTGGGTGCTGGAAGTCGGACTCAGGTTGGCCATATACACGGCCAGCGCCCCCACTCCCGTCCCATCTCTCCGGCCTCCACCACACTGTCCTTAGTTCCTGGGTAATATCGACTCTCTCAGCTTGTGTAATAATAACCAAGAGCGTTTTTCAACGCCGGGCACTGTCCAGAGGCTCCTATCCCTGTACTTCCTGCCTGAAGGTGGCGCTGTGACCTGCCTCTTCAGATGGACAGGCGGGGAGGGAGGGAGTGTGACAACTTGCCCAGGGTCAGCTGTCGGTTTCTAGGGCAGAGCACAGGTACCGAAGAGCACAGGTACCGAAGCTCAGAGCCTGGCCTGCCCCCAGCGGTGTCTTTGGAGTACATTTGTTAGGATTTTGTCATTTGGGGGCTACACCTGGCAGTGCTCCGGGCACCATCCATGGTGCTGGAGATGGACCCGGGTCTGCAGCGCGTAAGGCGAGAGCTCTGTCGTCTCTCTCGCTCTCCTGATTGTTTTTTGTTTGTTTTGCTTTTTGGGTCACACCTGGAGATGCACAAGGGTTACTCCTGGCTCTGCACTCAGTGGTGCTCAGGGGACCATATGGGATGCTGGGAATCGAACCTGAGTTGGCCGTGTGCAAGGCAAACACCCTACCCGCTGTGATGTCGCTCCAGCCCCTCCTGAGCACCTTTGAACTGAATCACTTTTTCTGCCCTCCCCCCAAAACAGACACATAAGTATCTAGACAATTTGTTCATTGTAGCAAAGAGTGTAGACATACTGAAACAGTCTATAATGTATTTCAAATGAAAATGAAACAAAGAAAATGGAAATTGTACCTAAGCTCACTGAACAGATAATTCTTTTATATTTTGCTTTTTGGGTCACTCCCGGCGATGCACAGGGGTTACTCCTGGCTCTGCACTCAGGAATCACTCCTGGAGGTGTTCAGGGGACCATATGGGATGCTGGAAATCGAACCTGGGTCGGCCACGTGCAAGGCAAACACCCTACCCGCTGGGCTATTGCTCCAGCCCCTGAACAATAGTCCGGCCCCTGAATTAGCTGTAGAGGGGCCAGAGGAATATTACACCAGGGAGAGCATCTGTCTTGCATGTGATCGACCTGGCATCCCAAAGGGTCTTCCAAGCACCACCAGGAGTAATTCCTGAGTGCAGAGCCAGGAGTAACCCTTGAGCATCATCAGGTGTGACCCAAAAAGACCCCCCCCCCCATAAATCCTGGGAAAACAAAACCCAAAGAACGGGATGTTGAGGGTTCCCCTCCTGGCTTGTTTTTCTGTCTCATGATGGTGCTGTTTGTCCCCGTGCAGATGAGAAGCTCTCCTGAGGCACCCCAGCAGCCAAGATGCTCCCCAGATTCTTACCCTGCTCCCATGTGCCCTTAGGAACAGTCGGGGTTCCGAGCTCACGGCCACCACCTGCCAGTTCCTGCTCTGCGACAGAGATTGGGCTCCTGTCATGGCCTCTCGGTGTCATTAGGGCTTATTAGCATTTTCCCATAGGTCTCAGCACAAGGAAAGAGGATCCCAGCATCACCAGCTACTGGAAGGAAGATGATTCAGATAACTTCCGACTTGTTTTGTGTGAGTCACTATTGTGTAGGTCTTCTTTTTTTTTTTTTTTTAAGAAAGTGATAAAAATAACTTTTGAAAAAAAATAGATGAGCACATTACTTTGTTTTGTTTTTTGGTTTGAGTTTTTATTTGGAGGGGGTGGGGGGGCCACACCCGGTGGTGTTCAGGGGTCACTCCTGTCTCTGCACTCAGGATCACTCACTTCTGGTGGGCTCAGGGACCAAGTGGGGTGTCGGGGATCAAACTCAGGTTGGCCTCCCACAAGGCAGATATGCCCTGCCTGCTGTACTATCGCTCATGCCAATTATGGTTTACAGGGGGCTGGAGCGATAGCACAGTGGGGAGGGCGTTTACCTTGCACGCGGCCAACATGGGTTCGATTCCCAGCATCCCATATGGTCCCCTGAGCACTGCCAGGAATAATTCCAGAGCGCAGAGCCAGGAGTAACCCCTGTGCTTCACTGGGTGTGACCCAAAAAGCAAAAAAAAAAAAATATGGTTTACATTTTGTAACTTTTTTATTGTTGACATGTGAAATAGTGAAACTCCGTGTTTTTGTTGGGGTGCTAAAAGGTGGGCTAAGTTGGCTGAATCTAACCAGGTAATGGGGGAGACCTTGGGGTGGTTTTTTTGGAGGGGTCACTGGGCGTGGGCCACGCGAGGCAGTGCGCCAGGCTTGCTCCTGGCTCTGTGCTCAGGAGTCGCTTCTGGTTCCCTCCTGCCGTGTCCCACCCATGCAGCCTGCGGGGTCTCTAGCTTCAGCCGCGTGGGCACCATCTGCTCCCACTTCAGTCTCCCCCGGGTGCCTGAGGCGCCTGACACAGCCCCGTGGCCCCTGCAGCACTCCCAACGCCAGTGGCACATGTCTGAGGCTGTGTGACAGCTACACCCACTCCAGAGCCTGGAAGACCCACACATTCAGGGGCAGGAGCCGTAGTACAGGACCGAGGGTGCTGGCCTTGCACGCGGCAGACCTGGGTTCGATCCCTGTCATCCCATTGAGCTCCCGAGACCCGCCAGGAGTAATTCCTGAGTGTAGGGCCAGGAGTAACCCCTGAGCATCGCTGGGTGTGACCTCCCAAACAGGAAAAATGAAAGAAAAGAAGGGAAGGAAGGAAGGAAGGAAGGAAGGAAGGAAGGAAGGAAGGAAGGGGAGAGAGGGAGGGAGGGAGGGAGGGAAGGAAGGAAGGAAGGAAGGAAGGAAGGGGAGAGAGGGAGGGAGGGAGGGAAGGAAGGAAGGAGGGAGGGAGGGAGAGAGGAGAGGGAGGAAGGAGGGAGGGAAGAAGGGAGGGAAGGAGGAGTCGGCCTTCCTCAAAGATGTGTGAGAGTTGCAGCCTCAGGCCCTCTGCTCCGTGTACTCCCGTGAGCACTGCTGGGCTCGCTCCTGAGCGAAGAACCAGGGAGCCCCACCACCATCAGCGGCTTTGTCGTTAAAGCCAGCGCTGGGGTTGAGTATGACCCTTGTCACACAGGACTGTAGGGGATGAAGGGAGAGAGAAGGGAAGGAATGGGGACAAAGGGAAGGGGTTGAAGGGAAGGGAAGCGGAAGAGAGGGGAGGGGAGTGGAGGGGGAGGGGAGAGGAGGGAGGAGGCCGCAGCTGTCAGCCGACCTCCACCCTGGTGGCTGGGCCTGCTCCACCTGCCTCCTGCAGCCCTGGCATTGAGCAGCTGACTAGGTGGTGGCAGCAGCTGGGCCCCCC